ATTAAACTCAAATTGATCCATGCAAAAGATCACTAAGACTACAATATACCTCTTTTAACTATATAAGACTAAGATATACTAGTCCTATATTGCAAGGGTGTCTAAACCTGCTCCTGGAGGGCCAACGTCCTGCAGAGTTTAGCTCTAACCAGCTCCAACACCCCTGCCTGGAAGTTTCTAGGAAGTCTGAAGACCTAGAGTGTCTCATTCAGCCCCCTAGCTCGTGAATCACTCAGTATATCGTGCAGACGAATTCAGGCACTGGTAAGGACAGTAAGGAAAATATTGAGCATTGATGCTCCCTGGTTTTCACAGTGCAGTGTGGGACTTTTCAGGGAGTAAACGTAAAAGTGCAGCCCTTAAAAAGGTTGACTCACTGATCAGTGACTTGACTACTGAACTAGGGATCTGATTGGGACACACCCCTTGATTAGCTGGTTCAGGTCTGTTTAATTAGGGTTGGAGCTAAACTCTGTAGAACTTATGGGTTAAATGAAGGTCAAATAAAAAAATAAATAAATAAAATAAATAAATATTGCCAAAAATATGTGGATACCTGAACATCACACCTATATGTGCTCCTAACAGTTTCCACTCTTCTAGGAAGGCTCTTCTAGGAAATGTTCTCCCATTCAGATACGACAGGGGTGTCCAATCCTGCTCCTGGAGGGCCACTGTCCAGCAGAGTTCAGCTCCAACCCAAATTAAACACACCTGAACCAGCTAATCAAGGTTTTACTACGCATACTAGAAACTTTCAGGCAGTGTGTTGAAGCAAGTTGGAACAAAACTCTACAGGACAGTGGCCCTCCAAGACAGAGTTACTGAGATACATTCCTAAAATACGAGTATGAGTTTAGCCGCTGACATTTGGTGAATGGGGTCTAGGTCACTTCGGCATTCCAATTCATCATTCATGTGGACGTTTCAATTTACCCACATACTTTTACCCATGTAGTGTCTAAAACAGTGGTTCTCAACCAGGGGTCCGGGTCCACTTAGCAAAATTCCAGGGAGCCTAGATGTGTCTCTAAAATAAATTAAATTTAGTTATATTAACATAATCTTAATTGGAATGCTAAAAAGCACTAAGAATAAAGTACCATGTTTTTTTTATTATTACAACAGAAGTACAGGAGGTACAAATTTGGAGTCAAAAAGGTGGACAACCACTGCTCTAAACAGCCCTGACCTCTAACATATAGTTTATAAGAGGTTTGATTGGATGTGGGTCTTACTTTGAGCTCATGAGAGAGAACCACACTAGTCATTTCGTCCAGCTTCAGATGGAACTCATGCTCCCGCTTTCTCATTTCACTGTCAAAATCTGCCATAATTTCCTGTTGTGGATTGAAATTTACAACACCCACTGAATATAAATGACACTTTTAGCCAGTAATGCAGTCATAAAGAGTTTTATGAAACGCTTATTTGACTGAGCTTAAACAACACTCAAATGTCAAATGTCAAGTAACAACACTGAACAATAACCTATTTTGGAACTGACCTAAATGCACTACAGCATAAATAGCTTTGGTTCACCAACACTATCTGTGATCCTTCACGGCCTTATCATTTTACTTTACAGAGTGAGGTGAGGATTGCTTTAGTGATTATTTGACACAGCCAATGACTAAGAACTCCTGCCAGCTGGAATCCTTTTATGTCAGTTGGTTTACTTTAAATAACATACAATGTCCTGGCATTAATCCCAGGATATACACATTGTGAATTGATTTTTAGACCAAAAACTGCACCATAACTCTAAATATGCAAGATGTTCCAGCTTTAGATTTTGTAACTTAAATTTAGGCATGGGCCACACAACCCACAATAGAGGTCTAGTCAATTAGTGAGGTCAATGTTTTGTTTTGTTTCTTTCTGTGGCAGTGTTTTTAGCATGTTATACCTATTCATGTGTAGACAGACATGTTTAGCCATTACACTGCATCTTGCACTGTTTGTCTTTTTTCATGAGTGCTGTGCAGTGTTAAGTAAATATAGCTCAGTTTTTTTGAACACACCAAATGTACAAACAGGAATGGATGTCACCTGTAAGATTGTGTCTACCATCTTGCGGGTGACAGCCATACCTGTTTCTGCAGTGCCAGCTCCCCATCAGATTCTCTAATTCGTCGCTGGAGATCCCGTCTCAGTGTTTCATTCTCCTCCCTGAGTTTTTGAATTTCGCTTTCCATGATGCTAAAAAGCAAAACCAAATGTCAATATTCAATATTACACAAAAAAACAAACATCAATTTAGAAATCAATGTGGATAACCAAACATGGATGAGCCTAAGAAACAAGGTCATACTTCTGGACTTTTTCCAATTTGACTCTATGCTCGACTCCCCTCTTCTGATATTGCACTTCTATGTCCTCCTTCAACCTCCGCTGCTCCTCCAGGGCATCCTGCAGTTTTGCGATCTCAATCCTCAGCTCACTGACCTCTTCTCGCCTGACACTGTCCTCCGTCTGAGCACGGGCTGCCAAGGCATCATAACGCTCCAGCTCTTTGTCCCTCTCCTCCAACACACATAGATTATACTTGAAGTCATCACGCAAGCGGAGGAAACGCTCTCTCTGGGTGGACAGCTCTGATGTGGCTTCATTTAGAGCAGTCTCTAGTTGTCGGATCCGCAAAGTTTGAAGTACTTTCCATTCTCTTTCTTTACAAGCCAGCTGGGCCTCCAGGTCCACAGCTTCCTGCATTGTTACGAAGCAGATGTTGAACAACAGGGCACTGCAAAACTTGACATCCTGTTAAGCAAATCTGTAGACACAAGTAATTACAAAGTGCTCATCAAAAGGATATTTTGAAACAAAACATGCCAAATGAAACCTTGCAGATCATATTAAGCCATAAACATATGTGTGTGTGTATGTGTGTCAATAAATATCTAGCAGTCAGTAATTAGAGTTATTTCATTTCCTTCCTCTGAAAAAATGAAACAACTAACGTAAAATTTGTTCACTAAAATTTGTTCACGTACTTCAACAAACAAGAATAACAAATTCCAATTTTTCTTGTAAAAAACTACAAGAATAACAAATTCCAATAGTGGAAACAATGAACTGACAGTTTTTAGCAGACAGCTCATATGAAAACAAAACAACAAGCAGAAATTCACGAACACACGTTATTTTAAAGAATTTCAACAGAATTGGAACTATTCCACCAAATTAAAATAGTTATTTAGTTTACCTTCATGTGTTATATCACCCCAAGAATGAATGAAGTGGCATTTATTTTCTCCGGTTAACTTAGCTTGCATAGCACAGCGAATATTCTTCTATTTCATGTTTTTGTGATAAATGAAGGTGACCAAAACTGAGTAAAAGTTAAAATACACAAATACTCCAGAATTAAGCTGCTGAATATGTCTTAAATACTTCGCACTGAACGTTTAGTTCAGCTTAGCTAACCAGCTAACGTTAAGCAATAGCATAGCATTTGTTCTAACTCGGCGCCACCATAACTATGAGAGTTTCCATAGAAACAAAACGCTTCCTCTCAATCCTCTGTAACATCATGGGTAACATCCGCGTACTGGGTTGAACCGGGTTGAACTGGGTGAATGCCATTTTTACAACTGAGCGTCATTTGCTTACTTTGAAAGGCGGAAATTATGAGTTCACTTCTGATTATGCTGATGCTGTATTTCTGGAATTACTGTTATTTCCCACAATAAAAGCATCACGCGTATCGTAAAGTTATAAAATGTTTCCGAGACAATGTTAAATTAGAAGTCATGATTCACTTATAGTTGCTTGTTATTTGGTATCAAAATATAATGTTAGTAGTGTTTACTAACGTTACTGACAAAGTAGGCGACACCCTACATAATATGACACATCTGTTATGCAATATTGTGTAGACCTTCCTGTCAGAATTATACCTTGACAAGTTCAGACAGGTTTGCATTGGTTATTAGGCTATTTTTCCAAACCTGGCTGTGACGCAACTTTTCCTGAGGCTTACAAAAGCTGTACAAAAGCAACTGACGCAAAAGGAAATAAGACACCAGATTCAGGTGATTTCTACCTGCCTGCTGTGCTGTCACGTTCCAAGTATCTATTCTGTACTTAGTGTATATGCTTTTTCTCTCATTTAATAATGTAGCATAAGGGGTTATTTAGTTTTATTGAGATGCTACAACTTCCAAAGGAAAGCAAATGTTCCTCTCTATTTTTGATAACAGCCTACAGTATATCTGCCTGTCTGTTTCACACTCAGTTACCCAGACAGCAACATAGTGTCGGCCCAAATCCGGCCCACATCTGGTAGGCGTTGAATCCACAAGAACCAGATGTGGCCTGGATCTGGACCGACACTATGTTGCTGTCTGGGTAATATTCAGTGCTGTCTACAGAACCAACAGCTGTTTATGAGCATAATATTACTGTAAACATTGTAACTAAAGAAGTGTTTTGAGTTGGTGATGCCATTGAATTGCAAGGAAGTGTCATAACCGCCCTGTTTTGTAACTCTTCAGTTTTACTGAGTCACTGTGATGTGTGCCACATTATGTGTGAGGGGAAAATGCATTGTACATTTTTTATTCACAAAAACAAATTTCTCGAGACTTTGCCTATTTGATGTCTTTATCGCTGAAATTTCCCTTATTGTAAAATCTCTTAAACTCTGATAACAATACGAACAAGTTTCTTAAGAATTATGATCACCCCCCCCCCCCCCCTTCCTTTTCATTTTATGTTAATGTATTCAATGCAGTATATCAACTGTTTCCTTTCTTGCAATAAAAAAACGTGTGAGGGGAAAATTGCCAAATAGGCTAATATTTTTTTGTTCAGCACCCAGCTATCATAATAATGAGAAACAAAGTCGATGCTTCATCTATGGAGGTAAGGTTCGTAAATCCCCTTTAAATCCCCTGAGCACATGGTTTGAATAGGGATGAGAGGGAAAAGGAGAGCAGTGGGGAAACGCACGTAGCGCACTCACACAGCCTCATCATTGGCTGCACGTCAGACAGCGTGACTCAAGTGATTCACTGGTGACAGAACACAGAACAGGCTCAGTCAGGTGAGCAATTCATTCAAGTGCTTCTTCAAAAGATGCGTGCCGTGCGAACGTGATGGTCCTGGTGCCAGAGGGGCATCGTCAGAGAATAACCTTAATCACAGAGTATCGTTAAGGTATGTATATGAGGACTGACTTTAAATTTGTCAACATGTACCCTGTGATAATGATTGGGTGATTTTGCGCGTGCGTCGGTCAATGGGGGATGCTGAATGCCGGTGGGCTGCTATGGAGATTGACTGATGAAAAGTAACAGGTTAACATAAAGAATACTCTTGTATCTATTATCGTTGAAAATATAGGCTACACCGTGTTATAGAATATAAATATTTATAATAATATTCCTAATATGTCGTCACCGTGAATAATTCACATACCGATACTTGCCATATGTGATGGTCTGATATTAGTGTAATGCAGTGTAATCTTCGAGTAGTTGCGGTTGCAATGGTGCTACAAATGATATAAGTGAGAATATTTATAAGTTAAGGATACATAAGGACCTGTGGCTTTACCTTGCCCGGTGCCAGCGCTTATTGGTGGAGGAGAGAGAGTAGCCTAACGTTATAGAAGTCACGTTTAGCACGTAGACCAGAGCTGTGGCGTAGCGGCTATCAGATGCTCTTCATACAAATATATAGACGCATAATCACATATTAGGTCATATAATTATTCAGTGTTCGAATTGTACACTGACTTCCTGGAGAGTCGATTCTATAAAGGTAGGCTATTTCGATCGGAATTAGTTTTGAACAGTTAACCTTTAAAACTCCAAAGGGTTTTGTGGTATTTTTGTATAGCCTACTTAAATCTATAACGAACTGTCAAATAATGACTGTATCTATCTGTGTCCCACTCAAAGCACTCGAGCAGCCTACTGTTGCCATGGTTACCACCTCAAGCAATCGATATTTTTAAGGAAAAAATAAATGCTGTTACTATAAAAAGCTATTATATATAATTTGAGGGGGATTCAAACCTTAATTTCCTTATATGGCGGCACATCTATTTCAGGTCTTAGGGCATCTACAACTAAGTTCATGATGTAATATTAAGAACCATGAATGACCTATATTGTAGGAGTAAGGTCAGAGATGGATGCATCTAAATCAGATCCCCAGTTCACTAGTCAGGGGCTGCGTTTAATTCCAATTTTTTATGACCTTCCCCCGCTAACTTAATAATAATTTGTTACATTTATATAACACTTTTCACTGCACTCAAAGCGCTTTAAATAGAATTGGGGAATCTCCTCAACCACCTATGTGCAGCATCATCTGGATGATGCGACGGCAGCCATATTGCGCCAGAGCGCAGGGAGGAAACCAGGGAGCATCACTGCCCTTACCAGAAATTACATCACATTTTTGAAACACGAAACATAAAACGCACAAGCCAATTCAATAAATATAATGACACGGAATAGAAGTTTTGAAGACGAACCGTTTTTTATTACAGCGCTAGACAGGTAGTGAACACATCTAGTCAACATTTATAATTAATATTCAGTTTAAATGCTGTAAGGATATGTAACAGAACATTGCGTTTACATGCCATAACAAATCATATCAAAAAGATATGTAGTGAGTAGTAGTGTGTAGTGAGCCAGGGTCCTTACTAGTGCCTGGATTTGTGTACATGTCACGATATACTGATTTAGGGAGCTGATTGAGACGCACCCAATGAAGGCATATATAATATAGACCTGCCTTAATTAGCTTCTCAAAATACCTAATCACTATATCAAAAATCATTCATAAATATAAAAACTGAAATCACCCTCTTAGGAGTGGTGTCACACATAGAGCTAGATATACAGAAATCAAAATAATCAGTAGTCTTCTTGTCATTTCATTGTGACTGACAGATTAGAATCAGCCAGTTTCACTAATTACGGTAGTTTGGACATGACAAGAAGCGTCCATAATTAACAAAGTGCCAGTGCCAGCTGTGCCCTGCTTCAAATAATTCAATAGCCTTTCTAAAATGAATCCTTGCCCTACATAATTCCTCCTAAGCAAACATAATTTAAATCCAAACTACACATTCTGTATAAAATTCTATGTAAAATGAGAATAGACACAACACAAGTTACTCTTAACTGCAAGAGAGGTGATTCTGGCCATTGCAATCAGTACCACATGGGGAAATGTCAGGGTCTTAATTTAGGTTGGATATCATGGCTCTGGTTGGGTACAGAGTTTTTTCACTAGAGGTTTTCCCCTCTCAGGCCCCACCCCCAGTCTGCCCCCTAGGTTATGTATATGTGGGAGCTTCAGATCAGAGGGAGAGAATCAGTTTTCAGGAACCTTAGGCGAGGTAGGTTGCACATACAGTACATTGGTTGCATGTCGTACTTTTTCCTAATGTAGCTCTTCTACATCATAGCTCTTGATCAACTAATTTCCACTGTGTAACATGTTGCGTAGCCCTTTTTCAATGCATTTAAAAACACTTCTACCACACTTACATTGATAAGATGCCTTAGGTTGTCTTATGCTGTTTAATGGCATTTGAGCTGTTTATGCTTTTCTTTTGTTTATTGATTATGTGTATAAAGTATAATCTACAATACCATATATAGTTGTTTTTGGCATTCAGATCACTAGTTTCATATTGTTTACATATTGATTTCAATGCTGTACCAACAGAGGATCAGGTTTCATCCTTTAAATGAGTATTATGAGCATGCATTAATCAATCAATCACTTTAGTTTAGTGCAGGGTTGTCCAAACCTTCTTCTTTTTTTAAGGGGGCCATATTTGATGTTGTGGACACAGTAGCTTGAGTTGGGACGCAGATGTACATTTATTTTCATTAAAACAAATAACTGTAAAAATTAATTTAGTTAGAACTCTACTCTTATTAAAATTAATTGGTAACCACACTACCATCCATGGTAAAATTATCTATGCTGTTTAGTCTATAAACATTTAGTATATAAATACAAATGCACTAAACTACTAGCGTATAACAAAAATGTCTGTAATTTGGCCTAGATTTTATTGCTCCTTTAATACATGAGGCTAATAATATAATAATTCGATTGCCCACATTTCTGCCACGACAGCTACTAAATCCATGGTAAATGTTGGTGATTTATGGATTGAAAAGTCCTCTAACTGGATTGTTGTTGTCGCACAATTTCTCATGCGTCAGTGTTGAGAATGTCAGCACTGTTTCATCTGCCTTTAAAATAGTTAAAATCACCAAGACGATTTGTATCAGAGACCACTGTTGCAAACTCGAACTCTTCTCACTGCGCTGTTTGGTGGGAGCGTGAACGAGACAGTTTAGCGAGTAAAGCCGGGTGCACTTCACTGTGCGATTTGGCCGTCTGAGACCAATTTTGCAACTCCTCAAGAATCCTCTGATCCTAGGCTAAAATCTGAAGTTTGATCGTTAGTTTGACATGTTCACCGACAGGCGACAGCCGATTAATGACCGTTGCGATGACCTCAGACGAAATTCTGGCAGTGTCAGAAGATTTGACTCGCAGTCTTGCAGTGTGACTTCTACGACGACAGTCAAATTGTCTTCGTTTTTCAAGACAAGCCATGACCAAAATTAACGTTAGAGATTTCTTTGTAGCCACCATTTCAACCCCGCGTGTCAGATTGATTATGTAAAACTCCGAACAAGTTTTCTTGCATGTGTCCGTTTTTGACGCGTCTTGACTGTCGTACAGTCTGACATCAATGACAACTGAGATCTTACAGTGTGACATGCCTTTCAGCGAGGATCATGTTCGTACAGTCTGACAAGCAACAATCGTAAAGGACTATAAATCGCACAGTGTGCACCCGGCCTAAACGCATTTGTTCTAAACTGGCGCTGCGCTGTCTTTTGGGCAGATGTAATGACCCGTGCGTCGCGATTCAAACCAATAGTGCTGTTGTTCTGCTTTTTGTGCCTTTAATATTTCTCATATGCAACAGAAATGGCAGCACTCATCAGTTATTAATTGTTGTCACTCACGGTTTACTGCTACACGTGGCCAAAAATCAAGTGCTGTCACCTTGTGTTGACTTTGTAAAACTGCATGATTGGTAAATTATGCTTAGCGGGCCACATAATTTAATAGCTCCACCTCCACGGGCTGGACTTTGGACACCCCTGGTTTAAAGAGTCAAGGAGCAGTCTTGCCCTTTAAGAAGGTCAAGATAACGCGGCGGACCATTCTGTCATTGCTTTTTATAGACGTATGTGCTAAATTCCACATTGCATCGTCATATATTTATATACATGCATGTATGTATGTATGTGTGTGTACATATATATATATATATATATATATATATATATGTATATATATGTATATATATATATGTTTGTGTAGGATATCTATCTATTTGTTCAAATCAAGTTGCTATTTTATTTTATACATTGTTTATGTCTAGAAATGAGACAAAAGAGATCACGAATAAGATGACGGAATTTGGCTAGCTGTCAACAGCTGCTTGGCAGCTCTTCCAGTTGAGAGACATTTGAAAGGGCACACATTGCATAGTAGGTTAGATAAGTGTTTGCTAATTCTGATCCTGGAGCACCCCCAACATTACACATTTTGAACTTCACTTTGGACAACACCCATAATTCAACTCATCAGGTGTAAAATAAGGGACACACAGACAAAATGTGTATTGTTGGTGGTGGTCCAGGGATCAGGATTGAGAAACTCTGTGTTAGAAGCAACATATTGTACTCTCTGATCTAAAATGAAAAAAAAAAAAAAATCCTTATGATGCTGGTTTTTTTTTAAGTTGTAATTTGTTGTGATCTGGTGAGCATTACATTTAAAACGTACCCAGAATTACGAGAGCAGCTCTTGGCAAGAACATGAATGAGGAAGGGTGTGAATCCAGTGTGCCACACCAACTGAACAGATCTAGCTGTACAGGGATATTCAGTGAGCGAGGCATGATTTTGGCAGTTGAGCATTAATGATCCACAAGCAGTAGTCAATTTATGTTTAAAGTCATGTTGTGACCAATCAGATGAAATATTTTACTGTAGAATTAAGCAACATCCATGCACTTTTTTTTTGCAGCTGAGAGCTGAGGTGTACTGAGCATCATGGGTGGAGCGGTTGTTGACAGTGGTAACAGCGGGGTCAAGGCACCTGATGGAGGATGGGGTTGGGCTGTCCTCTTCGGCTGCTTCGTCATTACTGGTTTCTCCTACGCATTTCCCAAAGCGGTCAGCGTCTTCTTCAAAGAGCTTATCCGGGAGTTTGGCGTGGGGTACAGTGACTGCGCTTGGATCTCCTCCATTCTTCTTGCAATGCTTTATGGCTCAGGTAGGGATGTCCACTGGCAGTGGAGATTGAGAATATTACGTGGCTCTAGTAGAGGGGTTTTCAAAATTGGGTAATCTGTGGAACATTTTGTAAGGGGAAATGCAGTTTGTTCAATCTTTACTGAATTTTATTTTGCTGTAACAGTAAGTGTGTGTCGTGTGTGTGTATATATGTATGTATGTGTGTATATATTATACAGTGTATAAGATCAAAGCTTAAATTTGTATAATGTAAATTTAATTTTAGAATTAATCAAATAATAAAAATGGGGTTTTTATACATAATAACATTCATAGGTGCCTTTATATTTTAAGAAAAGGGTACTTCGCAGGGGATCCTCATATTTGTGGGTCATTGGTATCAAAAAGTATGAAAACCCTTCACTCTTAGTAAAGTCGCAAAATCAGCATGTACATCTAGAAGAGTTATGTGCGATGTCAGCATGTTAAGTGTTCCTGGTCTTTTCTTTTTTTATATATATATATATATATATATATATATATATATATATATATATATATATATATATATATATCCTGGATGCTAACAGTGGTTTGCTTGTTGCAGGGCCTCTATGCAGCATCCTAGTGAACCGTTTTGGATGTCGCCCTGTGATGATGGTCGGGGGCCTTTTTGCCTCGCTGGGGATGATCATGGCATCCTTTGCAACCAGCATCCTTCACATCTATCTCTGCATAGGAGTCATAACAGGTGAGCACTGTTTTGTGAAATGATGGCATACTTAATTTCAACATATTAACACTCTCAAATTTGATGTCCTCTAGGTTTGGGTCTTTCTCTGAACTTTCAGCCATCCCTCATCATGCTGAACAGATATTTCAGTGAGAAAAGGCCCTTGGCCAACGGCCTGGCTGCAGCTGGAAGTCCCGTGGCTCTGTGCTGTTTATCTCCTCTTGGTCAGATTCTTCAATACAATTATGGTTGGCGTGGAGGCTTCCTCATACTGGGAGGGATTCTACTGAACTGCTGTGCATGTGGAGCCCTCATGAGGCCCTTGAAAGCACCAAAAAAACCAAGCGAGGTGGACGAAAAGGAAACGAAACCCAAACCAAAGGCCAAGCTTCTTGACTTCACAGTCTTTAAAGATTGCGGTTTTGTGATTTACACTGTGGCCGCGGCCATTATGGTGCTTGGTCTTTTTGTGCCTCCTGTGTTTGTGGTAAGCTATGCCAAGGAACTGGGCAATGAGGACACCAAGTCTGCCTTGTTGCTCACCATACTGGGGTTTATTGACATCTTCGCCAGGCCCACGTGCGGCATCATTGCTGGGCTCAAGTGGGTGAGGCCACGATGCGTTTACCTCTTCAGTTTTGCCATGATCTTCAATGGAGTCACTGATCTTGTCGGGTCCATGGCCAAAGACTATGCATCTCTCGTGGTGTTCTGCATTTTCTTCGGTATCTCTTATGGCATGGTTGGAGCCTTACAGTTTGAAGTGTTGATGGCCATTGTGGGAACAGAGAAGTTCTCCAGTGCCATTGGCTTGGTGCTGTTGGTCGAAGCCATTGCGGTGTTGGTGGGACCGCCTGGAGCAGGTCAGTTCTGCAGTTCATTTTCTGTCTTCTGTAGTTTCTGTGCTGTTAAAGAAAAATGATACAAGTCCCAAGATAAACATTTTAATCAACTAAAATATGCATTTACAGGAGTACATTTACAGCTAGTCTTATTCAGAACTGTTTGAATTACTATGTTGAATCTCATGAAATCACAAATGTTTGTTTGTAGATAATTGGTTACATTTAAGAATGATGCATATGGAAGAAAATATTTTGCTGCTTCTGTTTAATTCCAACTTTGAAAGAACTAAAAGAACTGTTAAATAAACTGACCTTTTATGTACTTTTGATTATTGATATCCGTTTGCAGATTACCTAGTCTATGCCAATGGTAAAAAAAAGACCTTTTGTTTAGTGTTGCAAAGACCTATTATTACAATACCATATGGTTCCTCCTTATTAGGATTTAGACAAACAAAGAGCAAATGGATTGTTATAGGTGTCCCAACAATGACAGCTGCTGTTCATAGGTCATGGGCATGTTTTCCCCGATGACATGTCATGGCCGCCACCACAATTATATGGGAAGTTCATATCATTGTTCTCTGGTTTCATTTTACAGGTCGCCTTCTGGACGCCACAAAGAACTACATGTATGTCTTCCTGCTGGCTGGGTGTGAAGTGGTCCTCTCTGCCCTTGTGCTCGCCATCTGTAACTTGCTCTTCATCAAAATGAAGCCCCAAGAGCCTGACCCTCCAGCCAAGATGGAGATGGCCATTACCGAGACCGAGATGGAAGAGCTCAACAAATCACCAAAGGACGACCAAGACAATGGAGGTGGTGCTAGTGAGAATGGGAAGAAGAAAGCTGCCGAACCGGAAGCAACGACAAAATCTGATGATAAAAAGGTTAAAGAGTTGGACTCGATAGAGTTGGAGAACGCTTCCAAAACGGTGGCTGAACCAAACGGTGTGGCAGTAGAACCTGAATCCTCTCTGTGAAGATACTAGAACAATAGATATGACGGAGCTTCCCCAGTAGGACTCATGGACGTGTGTTTGATGTTGTGGTGTATGCTCTTTGTATGCGCTTCGAGTGTGGTTGCGAGGACCGCTTTCAGACCTTGCTCTGCAGTTCAGATATAGCACTTGTATCTGGATTTTTGGCCAAACACTGCCTTGCATGCTAACAGATGTCAGGATATGTTTTCAAAAGGTTCTTCCAAAAACCGATTTAATTATTTATATTGTGGCTCCAAATTTTTGGTCAGTATACACTCCACATCAGAGCAAGGCACCAGCATATACTAAAGATTACCAGCTTGCATCTTTGTGGCATTCAGTGTTTGCTAATGTGGATAGTTGGTTTGCAGTATCTTTTATCTTCTACGGTTACATTTTAAACTGGTCCTGAGAGCGCACTGGAGTTTTAAAGGTTGTATTAAAGTCCTGCATTTAAGACAAATCCAACCAGACGAAGACATGCAAATGAGGATCTTGTTTAGTCCCTTTAAATTGGGCATGTTTGTGAGGAATGTACAGAATTCAGATAAGCTTATTTTTGTGGAACATTTCAAAGTATATTACTGTTGTAGGACAAAGCGGTTACATTTTTAAAGTTTTTTTTATTTTAACTTTTTCTTGTAAAGATTATCAGTATTTATATTAAAGTGTTGATGTCAGTTGGCAGCTGCACTTTATATTTATTTTGTATTTTAATCATCGAAATGTCACTGTTCTTAGACCAACTGCATCAATCAGAAGAGGACCACAGTTTGTACTTGATATGTTGGTTATGTAACATTTATTTTTAATTCATTCACATTCACTCATGCATTGATTTTCAGTGTGCATTTAAAAAAACAATAACAAATAGTAACACATGATTTCTGAAAATGGTGGCGTGGTTAAAAAACCCTTCTAAACTTTACCTCGTTTTATCTTTCACCAGCAGTTTGTGAGTAGGGACCCTCTTCTATGTTCAAAGACACTTGAGCTATTTTTGGTTGTGCCTTAAGTCTTGTAGCAGTAAAGAATTTGTGGATCATTATAGAAATAAATACATCCTTTCCTCTCCACTGCATCTTGACTCATTTTTATGGTGTTATAGTATTTAAGTGTGTTTGTAGTGCTTTTAAAAGAACAGAATAAAACGATTACATGATACCATCCTTTTCAAACTTCATTCCAATATTAGGACTAACAATTCTCTGGAAATAAATAAAAAATTGTTACATTTCTAATTGAATTGATACCTCTCATAAATGTAATTATATTTTACTAGCTAAGGCTGTGAATTCTAAATGACCTCACTGCTTATTCCTAACTACAAGACCGTCGCACATAGTCCAGATCCTATTAGCATAAGATTTGTGCAGTATTTTCAGTTCAGTCCAGCTGGTGTCCATCTGCAAATGCACTGGGCTTTTGACACCTTAAGCAGCGGCTCATATGAAACATGGTGAGGCAGCATAAACTAGCAGTGATCAATCCTGCTTCTAATCTACCCTACTGTAGAATCTATATCTCACCTTGCTTTAACATTCAAGTGAAAAAAGACGTTTGGCTAAAGCAAGTTGGAAATAAACTATGGTTCTGTAAGGCATTTCATATAACCTTTTAGGAGTTCCCAGCATGAGTTCTCATTAGCAAGAGTTCCCATTAGCAGTTTTGTCGTCAGCCGCTTTAAATGCTCGAGCTCTTTATAGCGGAATGGATTCTGATTGTGTCATCAATATTTTTGTTTTTATCGTTCATCAGCTGGAAAATAAATCGTTCAACAGTGATTCCAGCAAAATCATTTCTCAGTGTCATTACAGCTACAGTTGTGGTATAGACTCTAGTATTATTTTATATTTAAGATTTTTAGAACCATATCTTTATAGTTACCGTTCTATAATTATTGCATTTATATCAAGTGGCTAATGTTCTCTTTTTTTGTAGACTTGTATACAGAAAAACATACAAGTAGATACACGCAGGAAAAATACTAGAGTACAGAAAAATAACAAATGCTATAGACACATTTGGAGAGAACATGAAAAACAATAACTTCCAGATTGTATTGAAAAAAGGCAGTAGGATAGCATAGAGAAGTATCATGAAGCTCCTGGACTTCTGTAGAACTCCAGCATGAGAAAAATCACAATGGCCCTCATTTATCAAAAGTGCGTACACCAAATTTCCAGCGTACACCTGGCGTACACCCAAAACCACGGTGACTTTGAAATTTATCAATATGGACGTTGGCGTATGGCACGCTCAAATCCTACGCCAGCTCAGGAGGTGGTGTACGCACGTTTTGAGTTAGTGCGGAAATGCGCAGAAAAACAATTCCTAACACCACAAAACGCACTGACAAACTAAAAGATATGATATATTATGACCCACTGTAAAACAAAAAAAACAAAAACATAGTAATTATTTACTTCAGTGTTTATTTTTGTGCAACATGGACTTCAATGTTTAATTTGTGTGACTTTACCAAAGCATTTGATTCATAAGCGTATTCCTTCAGTTGCGAGCCTGTGCGCTTTACCCTGACGTTCCATGGTTAGGATCGGCAGGTGCGCACGGACTGAGTTCGGTAACGAAAGGCTTTCAATGACCAACAAATAATTCAGACTGACAAAATAATAAAAAATACATTCTTCTTCTTTTAAATAATAATACAAATAATAATAATGACATTCTTCTTCTAAATAACAATAAGCGTCATTAATAATACAAATCATACTAATAATAAGAAGCATATTACAAATTGTCATGCAATTATTAATGTGAATGAATGGTAGGCCTACTCCACATCACATCATCATCATCACTATTGTACACACCAATACATGTAACGTGATTCGAAATTGAATACTAATTCAGAAGACGTGCTGTAAAATATTGCATTGTGATAGGTCATTTCGCCTCCACGTCAGAGAAGTTTCTCTTCTTTGCCGTCTTCCGTGTGTCCATGGCGTAAAATCAGGGCGTGGGGGAAGCGGAGACTTGAATATATAGGGGCGTGTTATTCTAATGACGATCGTTTTTAGCCGCGGGATTTATCAAGGGCAGGTATTGCGTACACCTGGATTTCAAAGGTACGCACAGCTTCATAAATCAGGCGGTGAGAGGAGTGTAAGCATAATCTTACGCCAACATATACGCTTGTTTCTACGCAAGAATGATAAATGAGGGCCAATGACACAAGAATAGAAGGTTACATTGGCTGAGGTAACTGTGATGCTAGTTTTCTAGAGACCAGGACAAGATTTTAAAGTTTTAAAATCAACGTATCTTAATGGTGGACATGCAAAACGAGCTATATTTGTCATATCGTGATAAACACTTTAAACATCTGTAAATGTCAGCAATGCCAAAAAAAAAAACCCACCCATTAGATGTAAATGAAAGATTATGCATTAAAAAAAAAACAACGACAAGCAAATACAAGTAATTTATTTACACTGTTTAAAATACACAAATACAGTGGTAATACAAATTCTTAAAGGACTGACAAATTGGCATGACTTCCACAAGTGTGTGTAGCCCAAAACAGCCATGGGCTTCAAACTGGGGGAGAATCAGATGAAAAATTGTACCCAGGAAGTTGCCAATGTCCTCTGTTATAGATGACAAGGGAACGAGATGACCAAACCAGCTTCCAAGGAGCATCAGAAAAGCCACATCAGTGCTGGAATATTTCATAAAAGGGGAAATCAATGAACATCAGAGCAAGACTTTGATTTGTTTTCATTCTTTCAACCTTTGTAAAAACAATCGATATCACCAACAAATGATTTACCACTACCAAAATACCATCTGAGCCATCAGAACACAACTTGCATCCATTACCTTCACATCAGAGTATAACAGTCCTTTTCAAAAGACACGTTGCAGGTCTAAGCATGATCTCCATTCATCAGTCAAAACAACATCCTCAAGAGTCAAAGTTCAAGTTCAGAATGCATGAAACCCCCAAAGTCTGGCACTTCATTGTTGTGGCTTTATGAAAGAGTGGATAAAAATAACTGGTGATAACTTTCAGACTCAACCCATCTGCGGTCATTTCATAGTCTCTCAAGCGTTGCATGGAAACATTTACACAAATATTTTACAGTTATTTCACAGCTTAGAAACAGAAGACACACAATAATGGGGGAAGCAGTATTGTACAAACGGGCGAGGTTCACAGGGTCCCTCTGTGAAGACGTGTACGACTGAAAACCACGCTGTGGAGTCAGTTTGCTATGAGCTGATGCTGAGATTTTGGCCCCTTTGTGGTCCATCCACTCAACACCACCAGCTTCAACAAGGGAAGGAACCTCACCAGAGGGCTATTAAAATGTATATTAAAAAATAAATACACTGAGTAAATAAAATAAAAAAGTTAAGTAAACCCATAACGACGCCACCAGGCGGACTCGTCTGTTGCCCAGGTTAAAATACAAAAGAAAACCCAGTATACAAATAAACAAGACCCATTTAAACCACATAGATGATACATTAGCCTCAAACGAGAGCACTGAATGTATAGGAGTGTAACTGTGAAGGAAGGTCGAATAAGATGACAATGGTGTGGGCTGGCTGATCCAGTCTCTGCTTGGTCAACCTACTGGTGTGATTTCGCAACAGGCCATAGCTCTCATGTCCATAAGACCATTTACAGAGTGTGGGAGAGAAAATATGAGAAAGAAAAAAAAGAGAGAGCCTGTTAGAAAAGAGGTCAGGTTGGTTTCTACACCATTTTGGTTTGGTCAATAGGAGGAGGAGACTGACGGCCCTATCTATTAGCTGATGGTGAAGAGCTGTCAATCAGGCATGTGTAGTTAGGTTGCCCATCGTGCTCCATATTGCAAAGTGGAGGCTTCTGGGACATGGAGACAATCTGTACACAGCAACAAGATAAAGGGACACACAATAAATGACAATTGCCACAAACCAAATCAGTCTTTTTATGAGACTGAAATTTGTTTATACGTTTTCACATAATACTAGATTGATAATTTGGGAGGATACAAATGTACAAAATGTAAATTTTTATGAAAAACATTAATCCATTAACCCAAAATGGTTCCTCTATGGCATAACTGCTTAACCCTTTTTGGAACCTTTATTTTTAAGAGTGTATGACAGTTTGCACAAGAAGAAAAAACAAAAAGCAAAGTGCAGCTAACACAAGCCAATCGAACTCACCTGGTGCACCTGCCTTCACACAAGGACGTGACGAGCAACTACTTGCCGTGGTGATCGAAGGGAATGCTATTCTGGGGTGAAGAGAGAGAACATTACAGCCTTCCACCCCTACAACACAATCCTTTGTCCACTGACATGCGATTCACACCAACCCATAATCATACCATGCCTACTGTCTGTCATATTGAAAGAATATATGCTGCTGAAATTACTTTTCCAAGACATACAAATGCTAGGTCAACAGCTTCCTAGAAAAGGCTTTTCAACTACCTAATAATCAGATTCAATTTGAAGCTTAACGTCATTAAAAGGCTAATAGAAATTGTGAGAATCAAAAGGTCATTTACTGCAAGCAACAAAAAAATAAAATAATATTTTATCAGGTATTTATTTCTGTGACCGATTTGCAGAGGTGGGAGTAAGTCACTAAATGCAAGTCTCAAGTCAAGTCCAAGTCTTAACATTGCAAGTCAAAGTCAAGTCATTCTGTTGTAAGGGTCAAGTCAAGTCAAGTCATACTCTTTGTCAAGTCAAGTCAAGTCGCAACTTAGTCATCAAGTCATACCAAGTCGTACACAGGCTAGTTTTACACATTTTTTTAACTCTGGGACTTTTATTACTTATTTAGACACAGAGGGCTGATGGGTTACAAAAATAAATAAATTAACTTGTGTGTAATAAATACAATATCATTAAGCACTTTAAATGCTCTAAAATAAAAATAAATTAAATGAACACAAGTAAACAAGAATTAATAAAACTTTTCCCATCTGGTAAAAAAAAAAGAAAAAAAAAAAGATATTGCATTCTAAATTAGTACTGTATGCCAAACTCTGTATGTTCTTACTCTAAATATTCAGGTGATTTGATCCCATAACACAAAATATTATATGGACATTTTAAGAAAACAAATCTAATCATTTAAATGATTTAAACCCGACTATTTTTAATACGTGGGTCATTATAACTGACGTTCTCAACTACTTTCTATATTACTTTCTCCCGCCCGCAACATTTATGTTTTGTCCCGCTCCCGCCCGCAAAAAGACTTTTTTTCTGTACCTCCAAATACTTTCAATTTAGCCTACGTGTCGCCACCATACACACCAGCTTAAATGCTCCTGATAAATTATTTGATATTAAAGCATTAACACACAAACCACTATTAAAACATAAAAGCAAGCAGCTACTGCGTGCAAGGTTTGGCATGACTGCGCGCAAAGTGCGCTCCCATAATAATTCCTAAAAAGCTGACATCAGTTCATCGCGATCTCACACATCTCTGTTATTATCAATGAAGCTTTCATAATATCTACACTTAGTTTGTTATAATTCGAGGATTTGCCAGCATACAGAATTCAGCACTGAACAAAAAGTCAGTTTTGAGCGGTGAGGGAAGTCTATCGTAAATGCTTCTGATTGGCCATTGCGTTCCTAGAAATCAACACATATGTCTGTGATTGGCTACATCGCTCAACGCTGCAAACATGTTATGAATAGAAACTCTGGCCTGTAAATCGTTTCTATTTTGTTTTAGTTGTTCTTATTGCTTTTCTGCAACAGATGAATAAAATGTATTAGTTTTTATGTTTTATTCATAGATATTTCTAGTTTGCGGGAGTCCCGCGAATCGTTATATTCTCCCTCAACCCGCACACACAGAGTGAGTGCATTACCGCCCGCGCTCCCTCATTCTTAAATATATTTAAAAAATCACAATAATTGAAAAAAAATTTTTTTTCCACAAGTCATTTCAAGTAAATAGGCACAAGTCCGAGTCAAGTCTAAAGTCACAAGGAGCAAGTCTAAAGTCAAGTTGAGTCGTTTCAGAGATCTAGTCAAGTAAGTCTTAAGTCCAGAAAATTGCGACTCGAGTCTGACTCGAGTCAAGTCATATGACTCGAGTCTCCCACCTCTGCCGATTTGTACGTGCAGAAATAAGACTTCCTACTGTAACCATTCAAAGAAAGGCCACAAGTACTGAAGTGTTGCTTCTTCTGCCAAGAAGTTAAATCTCTCTAATCGGTAGGCAAACAAAGAAGCTCATTCAGACACAGACAGCCACAAGACTTGCTGCTTTTTTAAAAAGGTTTATTAGGGATTTGACTGCTCTGCTGAAAGCTGGGTTGAGCAGGGTCTGCCTTATACCTGTGATGTGGACATGCGGGAAGTGTCTTGCCGCCCCGTCAGGTCTGAGGACGACACGTTCACTGGGGCGCCACGATGAAGCCGCATACTGACCTTCCGTTCACGCTCCATGCCAGTGACCGGTCTCGGTGAGGATGTGTTTGCTGTGTGACGAGAAGCAAGAGACGACTGCCTACAACAGTGTTTCAAGCACTTGGGAAGAAGCAGAGGTAAGAGACAGACTGTTTACCTGTGTGAGAGGTGGGTGTGAGGGGGGTGGGAGGAGCACCATCCTGTGTGGGGCGGGGTCTGCCTGAGGCTGCTGGGATCCCTCGAGCGGCAGGATTCCTGCTGTGCCTCATCCGCTCGTCCCGCTCTCTCCTCTCACGTTCTGCCTCCTCTGCTGTACGGTTAGCACCCTGACAGAAGGTAAATGCAAAATTATGAAACTTTATAAATGCAAGATTAAGAATCAAACAGTTGATTCCAACAGAGTTTGGCTTTACTATGTGTGTGTGTGAGTGTGTGTGTATATATTAGGGGTGTTGCAATATACCGGTGTTGACGATAATCATGATATTCAAAGAAAGCATGAAATATCGACATTGTGTTAATTTAGAGTGTGGCAATAAACCGGTATTGGCGGTAACCACGATGTTTAAAATGAATAGGACTGTTATGATAACATGACACGTAAATACTCCAGCGCGAGTAGCTGGTTGGCCTTTCAGGTGCTGTATTACACCCGCTGACACCTATCAAAGAAGACGCAGCCCGGGCCGCGCAGCTTCTCTGAGAAGAATGTCGTCTGAGAGAGAGAGTGAAACACTCTGTCCACACCCGAAAAAAGTAAGCTCGCCTGTATGGGAGTTCTTCGGCTCAAAAGAAAACAGCACTTTAAAGGGGGTCGCACACCGGACGAAAAGCGCAGCGCCACATCTTTAAAATTCGAACACATTTTCTCTCTGTCCGCCCAGCAACGGCTCAGGACCTTGTTCAAAATCCTGCCGCGACACAGAGCGCCATTTACATAGTTCTATATTAAATTTACATTATATTGGTCTCAAATCATCGTAAATGACTTCACCCTGTGCTGCAAAATACATTTAGTTTTACATTAATTTACAGATATCAGCTGCTTGAATGAAAATTGCTGATGTTATCAGATTTTCAGGTGATATTCTCAATTCGTTCAGTTAATGGATGCTCTGAGGTAAAGTGTTCAGATCACAGACTCAGCAACTATTGTATTTAATTGTACAGTACAATCATAACATAGTACAGACATTATCTTAATTTCATAATGTCCTTAAACATAAGAATAGCCTTCTGCTGGCCATAAACTGAGAAAGTGCGCGCGTCCGGTGTGCGATACCTCGAGTTGTCCTACACGCGACGCGGCGCTGCAGAATGTGTAGCCACCAACCTTTTTACCCATCTCCGTGTCCATCACCCTGCGGATTACGCAATTTTACAGAGAATACATTGCGATTATTTTACTAGTCATGGAATGGGAAACATGGCATTAACCTGTTAACAGAGGGTTTCTGTGTTCATACATTTAATAAAGGGTGATTATTAAAACCCTGTTTTCTTTACTCATTTTTTGTAGCCTATTTGTATTTGCACTTGATTGGCTATCTGCATGACTTTATTGGCGCCAATAGGTTTAAGAGCTTTTCAGTTCTTCAGAAAACATTCAGACAGTTTTGCTTCAGTTTGAAACCAGATACCCCCCCCCCCCCCACCCCCACCCCTTATAGATTCTATAGATATCGCGATATATCGATATCGTGAATTCTTTTGGCCACAATAACTGTGGTGTGAAAAATCTAACATCGTGACAGCCCTAGAATATATATATATATATTAGGGCCGGGACTCGATTAAAAAAATTTATCTAATTAATTAGAGGCTTTGTAATTAGTTAATCGAAATTAATCGCATTTTAATTGCATAAATATTTGACCTTAGAACAGGGAGAATTAATTTTTTTCACATGGATTTTTAGTATACCATTGAATAATGACTGAATACATAAGCTTAAGCAACAATATATTGTTTATTTTTGTTAAACCAAGTCCAGCAGACCAGTGCAATTTTTACCATTAAGTGTAGCAATAGCATATTGCTACACTACACTAATAGCGAATTATTCCTTGTTGCATAGCTTGCACACAACCATGCTCTTATCGACGCTTCCATCCGTTCGTTTTTTATAACAAAATGTCCCATCCACGGGGCCAACCAAAGCGGTCTCATCAGCTTCTTCGTTCATGTTCACTGTGGTTTGTTGTTCTCTGAAGTCAAGTCAAGTCATCTTCATTTATATAGCGCTTTTAACAATGGATTGTTTCAAAGCAGCTTTACAGAGATAAACGTATAATTTAAGGTAACAGAGATTGTTTTGGTTTTATAGCGGTTCTTGAATAATGTCATTTCCAGCTAAAGTTAATTTTGATTGATTCACCTCCGTCGAAATGATCAGACTTTAAATGCGAACCTGTGATTAACGCTGACGGCGTTCACGTGCACATTCAGAATTGATTCTATAGTTATGTGCTTTTGAAAATATGTGCGCAGGTTTGTTTGAAGTCATCATGAACGCTAGTTGGTGCTCCAGTATAATCGGTCCGCCGAAACTCATCCAGTGAGAAACGTTCCGCGGTGCAAAAATAAGTGTTTAACGTGTTATTTTTTGTGTAATTAATTAACGCGTTAAAGTCTGTAATTAATTCATCTTAATTAACGCGTTAAAGTCCCGGCCCTAATATATATATATAAATATATATATTAGAGGTGTACGTTCGGTACGAGGTTTTCGGTTCGGTACGCATTACAAACCAAACGATTTGTTAGACCATTTTTCCTACCAGTGTGACCAACATTTTGTTACCAGTCACGCTGGCGCGACCACCACGAAGTTGCCCAACATTAAATGGCAAACGTAATGAAAGCGGAACAAAACTGCGCTACTCATTTTGTGCTTAGCGCTAAGAGATCCAGTAAAGAAAGCATTAAAATTCGCCACAGAAGTAATAACATCGCTGCGAGATCTAGTGAGCATTCAAATTTCTCTGTTATTAACGGATCAAACAGCGCTGACGTGGAAACCAGGAGAAACATTGTGCCATGAATGAACTAGTTATAGGCTTTAAGTCCACAGATCAGCAACATTCCCCATGGATTTAATGTAGTAACACTAACTGTAACCATGGAAGTTTGGCAGGAATAGTAAAATGCTTTCAAGTACATAAAACATCTTTTTCCAGCACTTCAAAACTCAAATATTATCATATTTAAATGTTATATTTTAATGTGATGACCAAAACATTATTTGTTTATCCTTCAAAGATTACCCTGATTTATAAAACTAAAAGTTTCAAGATGTAGGAAAACTCACACTCATTTAAAAATAATAATTTTTTTAAATCAAGGAAATTTCTCTGGCATTTCTTTTTGTTGTATCGAAAACGTACCGAACCGTGAAACCACTGTGTCGGATCCGTAACCGAACCGTGAATTTTGTGTACCCTTACACCCCTAATAATATATATATAGAAAAGAAAAAGGAACAAATACAGATTCAGGGTATTGACGCACACGGAAACGCAGAGGATAGAGGAAAACACCGGTCACGAATTAAAAGTCTAAAACGAGAATTTTTAAAGAGAAATGACGGAGGATTTCGATATAAGAGAGGAGCTTGAGTTTTTTGCCCTGCCCTATTTGTTTAAACTGCAAGAGGCGTCTACTCTCACCTACTCTACGTCAGGTCAAAGGTCACTTTTCCACCGGAACTAGACTTGCGTACAGCCGTTCCCGAAAGCCAGTGATTAAAGTTTATAAAGTTATTAATATGGATATTTTTCTTACAAAACCGTATCACTTCAAATCAGAAGGCCTTTTTTTACCCCCTGAAGCCGTATGGATTAATTTTATGATGATCTTTTTTGGGCTTTAAAATCTGTGGCACCATTCACTCCCATTATAAAGCTTGGAAGAGCCAGGATTTTTTTGTTTACGATTGTGTTTGGCTGAAAGAGGAAAGTCATAAACACCTTCCTAGGATGGCTATTATGAGTAATCTATGGGATAATTGTCATTTTTGGGTGAACTAAATCTTTAAATACCAATGAAATGACTAAAGTGACATTTTTAACCTTTTCATTGCCATTAAAGTGAAATTACTGAACCTAAACAAAACAACAAAATATAAGCAAGCAACGGCAAGTTTAAATGACCAGCTTAAAGAATGAAGACCATCCAGACATGTATGTACTTACAAATTTGAGCATGTTCCAATCAAACACGTAGTCATAGGAAAAGCCCTGTCTGTGGAACAGATTCCTGAAGAGCTGCCTCAAGTATGAGTAGTCTGGCTTGTCATCAAATCGCAGTGACCGGCAAAAGTTGAGGTACGTGGCAAATTCAGCTGTGGGACAGAAAAACATCCATATTACAATCCAAATGTTTTAGATCAAATACAAAACAAATCAAAATACAAATTACACAAGGCTTTGAGGAGCATACATGGGTAGCCCTTGCAAAGAACTTCAATGGGGGTGGACATCTTCTTTTCGCTGATACGCTCATACTTCTGTCTCTTGGTGGCGGCTTTCAGTCCCTGCCAAGGCAGTGAGCCCAAGTTGAAGTACATCAGCACATAGCCAAGAGACTCCAGGTCATCCCGCCGAGACTGCTCTATAGAGATAGGTGCACACAGAATTAAAGCTTAATATAGCTTGCGGGGAGCAACTACTGTATTTATTCATGAATAAGCATTCATTTCACATTCATACACGCTTGCCCAAATTAAACTCCTCTGGGAAATGCTAAAAATATACATGCATTTACTTGAGCATGAGCACATAGTGATGTCACACAGAGCCGACAGAGCAATGGAAAGAAAAAATTACTCTGGAAAAGACGTCAACTGATCAGTAACCACAGCCAGAGAAGCACTGTCTATCACAACAAATCTGGGTCACACACACATATATTAAGGGCTGCACAATACTGGAAAAAAAATTACATTACGATATTTACCTCTTCTGTGATATATATTGCGATGTAAAGAAATACAGAAATGTTCACCAGATGACTTGAATAGCTATATTTGGAAAGAATGAATCATTCTAGAATGGGGTGATTTTGTTGGGGAGTGCAAAAAATTCTTAAAAAACTTGGAAAATGAAATGGGAATTCTTTCACATTTGAGTTTACTCTTTACAAAAGTACTAACACAAACCCTCTTTCAAAAACCATAAAGTGAACTTGAGTTTAAATGGGGCACATTCAAGGGATGCACCAATCCTATATTCCATATACGTATTGGCTTTGATACTGCGATTTTTGCCGGATCGGGTATCGATCAGGCAGGACCGGTCCAAATCTGATACGGCGTATACTCATTTCCCTTCAATGTTCAAATATTCCCATTATTGTACTTGATCTGTAGACAAACTTTTGTAGATTTGCATAAAAAGACTTTATCTGGTTGGAGTTTATGGCTGTTTCTAAATTGTAGAAGAAATAAGGCTTAATAAACTTCTGAATAGATATATTTATCTAGGCCCCGTGTTGGAGCCTTTCATATGATAATTTTGCGCACTGAAAGATTATTAATAATCTATATTTTCTGTCATATCTATCATATCTTGTTGCCCCATTAAATAGCTGTGCAATACATTTTAAATAAACATCTTTTAATTTTAGTATTTTTCTACAAATTGCTTTTCATTAATGTATTTTATAAGAATACAAATAGTAATTAGTTTTTTTATTAACATTGTACCATATTAAGCACTACACTTACGTTCATTAATATTTTTTACCAGCTAAATGTCAACGCGAGTCTCTATTCTCTCTGCCATCTCTGATGTAATAAGCCAGGTTTTCTTTACATTAGCGCTGTTTTGGACTGATTGTTTGAATGAATACACTTACAGGATCATTGAACTGAAAACTTTCCAGGAGTTTAGAAACTTAAAATGATCTGATCGCAACCAGAGATGCGAAATCAGGTTAAAGGGTTAGAATAGAAATTACCAGGTAGGCTTACAGCTGCTTGCGCTATTGTAGATGCTCAGTGTGATAATCTGACGACTTCTAAGATCATGTAACTACGTGATGTTAATGACGCAATTTCACATGCTTCAGTAACTTATTTGCATTATATTTGAACGTGTTAAGGATTTTTTATGAATTGCATGCATTAACATTAACGTTGACAGCCCTAATAAATATATTTATGGATAAACACGCACATATACTGTATACACACACAAGCACTCACGCCACAGTGATTTAAAAGCTCATTGGCAAGATGTTTTGTTTTCTTACCAATGCCAAGGTGTGTGTTGATGGATGCATATCGTGCAGTGCCCGTCAGGTTCTTGTTCTCGCGATAAGGAATGTGCTGGTGTGTCCGTGCGTCACGGTATTTCTTGGCCAGACCAAAGTCAATGATGTAGACCAGGTTTCCTTTCTTTCCCAAGCCCATCAGAAAATTATCAGGCTTCACGTCCCTATGAATGAAGTTCTTGGAGTGGATGTACTCAATGCGGCTTATCTGCAAGGTTTACAAAATGACATTTAAATACTTCTGTATCAAAAATAATCGTCAGGCATTTCAGTGTTTCAAAAACCATCAGGAGTGGATCTAAGGCACATAAATTCTTAGAAGCAAGTAGAGAGTAAAATTTTGGACTAAACGGCCATTACATTTCTCAGCAACTTCATCTACATTAAAGACCCGCAGGAAAATCGATGAAGAATGAAACAACTAATTGATTGCTTAAATATTTGTATCATACCATCTGATCAGCCAACAGCAGGACAGTCTTCAGGCTGAACTTCCTGGAGCAGAAATTGAAGAGATCCTCCAGACTGGGGCCAAGCAACTCCATCACCATCACGTTGTAATCTCCTTCTGCACCACACCACTTTATGGTAGGGATGCCAACTGCAAAGAAAGCACACAAAACCCCTAAATACACTGCCTGAAAACCCAACATGTATTTTTGGCATGTATGAAACGTATCATTGATTACATTAATTTATTGAGCACCTCAGCTCCTTATTTACAGACGACACAAAACACTGTTCTCATTTACCTCCACCCTGCATCATCTTGTAAATCTTGCTCTCGATGTGGAGCTGAGGGTGCTTTGTCTTCACACATTCCAGTTTGATGGCCACTTCCTCTCCGACTGAAATGTCCGTGCCTGGGGAAGATCGAGAAACAGAGCCATTAAAACAGTGAATGGAGTCAGAGAACACAGTCTGAATCTCCAACAAAAATTAAATGACTGCAGATCATAATTAATAGAACTTTATACGTTGTGCATACACTACCATTCAAAAGTTTGACCAATTTAATGTGTCCTTACTGAACATAAGTTTTCATTTCTTTAAGAAAAATAGTGCATGCACCCAGACCCCCTAGGGGGACCGAGGTCCACCCCTCATAGTCTCACAAAATCCTGTAGGAAAGACTTTTGAAACAAAGTATGCTTGTTCTGCATGTATTTGTGTGAATAAGTGGCACAGTTTTGTCCACTCAAGCATCCATTGGCACAGAGCAGAGCGAGCATTCATATGGGAGTTGAACTTTACACTCGCATGGAGAAAGCGTTGTGAGCGGTAGAGAGCAGCCAAAAGCTCAGAGATGCTCAACTTTATACAAAAAACAAGCAAAAAATGCCGGGCGGCAGCCAATCAAAATGAGAAGTGTTAAAAATATGCTGATTGTTCTCCCATTTCTGCTGGATTAAGTGCTTAAATCATATTGTTTATTGTTTTATGCATGTTAAATATTGTAGTTTGGACATGTATTTCATTGTGAATTGGCTGGCTTTGTTTAAATGTTTATTAAAAATACACTATCTTTACATTGGGTGTATGTGTGATGATTGATTACATAGCCTGTGTGCTGAAAAAACAGATTAAACACCCGCTCTACAGACACACCCCAAAGTGTAGTCGTTGAGTAAAGTTCTGCCATTTAGTGGACATTTACCATCAGTACGCAATCAGAATACAGTGGGCTTACAAGATGGAAAGCACAATCTTTCGGTCACTGTTCTAGTTTCAGTTATTTGAGAGACTTTTGAGTCTGGGCTGTTTCTTATTGTTTTGATGTTTACCCATATTCATGTTGTTATAGCTTTTTGATAAAGTTCTAATTGAACTCCCTATTAAAAAGCAAACCAATTAATCGCAATGAAACCGCATGCGATTTGGCAAAGGCTGCGATTATTTCATGTGCAGCTTGTCAGTGCAGTGCGGCTGATCGGTAGTAAATGCTGCTTCATCTGAAACCCAGAGGGCGCTCTCACGCAGACACGCCAAATATGCCCCGCTGCAGAAGTATGATAAGAAGTATGATAACGCACATCATTCCAGGGAAATCCATATGGGCATCATCGCTGTAGCTGAATAAACAGAAGATTGAAACGCTTTGATTGATTAAACATGACTTATAAACACACGACTGCCTTATTCTGTGTAAGAAGTAGGGCTGCACGATTAATCGAATTTTAATCACGATCGCGATTTTGGCTTCCCACGATCAAATTCGCGTGACCGAGCGATATTTAAAATGCGTCATTACATTCACAGAACACTCCGTATCAAAGGTTTTTTTTTTTTTTTGTAAAGCCAATCTAGCGCTCCGTAAACCACTGTCTGATCACGTGCCTCCATGAGCCCGAGTGCGCGAGAGAGACCGTCTGCGCGCGAGCGACAGTGCACGAGAGACCGAGTGTCCAAGAGCGCGCTCGAAAGTGCGCGAAAGATACCGAGTGTGTCTGCGTACGAGCGACAGCGCGCGAGAGAGACCGATTGTGTCTGCGCGCGAGAGAGACCGAGTGACGGTGCGCGTGAGAGACCGAGTGTGAGCATTAGTAAATTGGTACATACATACTACATATTAATATGGCATGAAAGTTCGATTAATGGACTCCAATAATCAGTACTACAAACTCTTGTTTTGAACTATTGTTTAATAAGTAGAAATAATTCAAGCACATACACTTTGGAGGATTAAATAAGATTCAATTTATGCAGTAAGACTAATCACTGACACTGTACCACAACATTTTACATTTCTTAAGCGTCAAATAACAATGACTCTGAATTTCATCCATTAATCGAACTTCCATAGTTCTAAGTGCATAGTTCTGCCTTGAAATGTTCTCATTTGGTTACATTCTGTTATGGAATATTTGTTTTTTATTGATTGTATATTTTGTGCGTTTTATTCACATCCATTATGCAGGTACAATGCAAGTTTATATTTTTATTTTATATTTACACAATGTAAAATAGTGCCCTGTTGAAGTTTTGCTACATTTTCTTTATTGTTTTATTTGTTTTTATTTATTCTTTAAAGAGATGCACTGAATTTTGGTGAATAAGAGGACCTGTTTTATTTTGATGCACATAGTTGTACATTAGCAGGAATGTAGCATAATGTGAAAGCAGTTATAATTAGCCTATGTGACAATAACATTTGTTTTGGTTAAAATCAACAAATAATCGTGATAATTAATCGTGATCTCAATATTGATAAAAATAATCGTGATTATCATTTTGGCCCAAATCGTGCAGCCCTAGTAAGAAGGCACATCATTTCACAGAAGGATGTTCAACTGTCGTTATGAAGTGAGTTTGGAGTAAAGCATGTTATTAAATGTTGTCTTTTGTTGGACAAGAGGTTCATAAATGCTTCTCATGTTTGGAAAGATGTTTGACACGTGTTGCTTTTTCAAATGCATGTTATAAGTGACTCAAACTCACAGTGCTTTCAGATGGAGCAGCATTTCAAGAGCCGTACATCAATGACAAGCTGCGCATAACAAATAATCGCAGCATTTGCGATTTCAAAATCGCGATAAGCCAAATCGGTTGAAGTGCGATTACATGGAAATTGCGATCAATCGTGCAGCCCTACTTTTCAAATGCGTTTCAAATTTTAATTCATAAACACTGAAATGCATTCCTCAATGTGTAAGGAAATAATGTCTCAAAATCGTGATTAAAATTGAAATCACAACATTGATCAAATTTTTTATATATTTTTTGTCCATAATCACAAAGACCTAGTTTAATTTAAATAGTAAAGCTCTATTGTGCAGTACTTTGTTAGCCAACATTTTTTCTTAAGTTGCCAGCCACTGTCTGCACTCTATTAAAAAACAACAACTATATTTATTCTAGCTTCATGCATTATTTTTTTAATCAACACTGAATGTGGGCAAGTTTCATAAAAAAAAAAGCAAAATTTTTTTAACAAAAAAAAGCCAAAAAATTCCATCAATGGTGGGGAAGCAATAGCCCCTTTCACACATGCAGTCTGTACTGGTAAATTACAGGTAACAGATCATGTTTGAACAGGACCTTTTCAAATATAATTGGTTCCCGCAATTTAGCAGTAAGGGAAGTTGTAACATTACCAGTAAATTATCGGTATATGCGCCGTGTGAACGCGGAATGAAGATTACCGGTATTTCGCATGTACCAGGTCAGAGCGTGCTGACATAAGAAGTCATTTGGGCCAATCAGAAGCTATTGAAAAGGCAACGGCTTTGGGCCATTCATAAAATTATGAAGCGTTTACTCAGCACTGTTTACAAATGTCTTCAAATTGAAGTGATACCGAAACTAAAGCGCTTCTCGTCCGGGCGGATGAAGAGATTTGTCAACAACTTAAAGGAACAGTTAGCGATACTGTCATGTATGATAAAATAACTAGCCTTCTTCAGGAACAAGGCATAAACTTCCGGTTAATGACATCAGAGTTTAACAGTATTTTGGAACTGATAAAAAGCCAGAATGCTTTTGCTTGTGTGAACACCACATTTTTTAATTTACCGGTAAAGTTGTTCTGGCAATTTTATGGTAATTTACCGGGATTGCTGTGTGAAGGGCTATTGTCTCATAAATGACGGAAAATTCTATCAATGGCAGGGAAACAGTTAAGAGAACTGTTAATTTAATTACATTCTAAAAGAAGAATTACACAGATTTATTCAGATAAAATCTTTACACAGATTTGATTACCACCATTTCATTTTCGGGGCTCAACAGCCCCATTTCTCATGAAAAAGAGCACTCTGGACATTCTGCAAAATATCCGTTTTCAAAAGGCAAAAAAAATTTAAAACTGAAACTACTACTCAGCCATCTAAACAGAAACTCAAGGACTTGTTCAGCTTGTTCCTGAGATATAAAAAACAACAACAAATGATAATCTTCCCTTCAGCTGTTAGCAAAGAAACTCATGCAATACACGTCAGATCTACGCACAAATTAATCAGCAAACTAGACATTTATTCAAAGAGCACAAACAGTCAGTACCCAATGATTACATTTAGATTAAATTTACATTAAAAAAAACATTCTACCTATCTTTGCCAACGAACAATGAAATGAACAGGCTTCTGCTCTGGTTTCAGATCAGCTTTACAGCCCTGATAAAGAAAACCAATAATACGGCAGTGTTATGCAAGAAATCACGCACCCAAAAAACTGTTGCCTATCCAACAGTTGACCCAAGAAATAGGATGCCAAACTGCTGATAAGGTGAATGCAAACTGCAGTCTGATAGCTAAATGAGAAGTAAGGGAAGTTAAAGATGTGGCATCTGGTTGAAACATCCATCACATCATAAGCCTGAACCAAAAACTCTGAGGTTACATAAAAGCTGATGGGAAGGACCCAGAATTGTAAACGAGTTGGACAGTCCGGGGTGATTCACACACCTGAGGCCTCCAATGATGCCAAGTGATGCAAATGTAACGGAATCCCAGGAAAAGGGAGAGGTATTGCATTTATGCCGAGTCTGACTGTCGGATGATTTGTAAAAGCAGTAAGTGGTGTAACTAGTCCAATCTTGTTGGGTTTGATCTTCTGAGCCTCTAATGCCAAGGACATGGCAGAAAATTTGAATGCATTTCACACAGAGTCATGTGCAGAGTCAAGATCTTCAAGTAGCATTGCCACAAAATAACACCTCCGACATATTTACTCCGAAGTATTATTCAAAAACACTTAATTATGCTGACATACCAAAGAGTGGGTGAGTGCAGTTATGAAACAGAAGCAAGCAGATGAGTTTAAAGTCTCACCACACCCACCAAGCCCTGTTGTCACACAGACAGACTGAAACAATTCCATCTCAGCCAGAAAGCTTTGGGATAAAGGTCTCGCCACACTACATGATGATCAAAGTCCCCTCACAAACATTGCTTCTCTATCAAAATAAAAGCAAGCTGATTGCATTTGAGCCTGACGTCTATAGGTGCTTTGATTAAGTTAAACATTCTGTTGACAGGTTTCAATCCACAGCGATACGAATTAAGGCCAACAGCTGCAAAACTTCCTTTAATGCCTCCTGATTCCTGAATAAGAGATGAACGTCATCTCTTACTGGCTCTAACACAAGTACAACACAGGCTTGAGTTAAATGAAATCCCATAGTGGTTAAGAGTACTAGAAGTTGTAAGGGTAGATTTTGAACTAATGAAATGTTATCAGCTTGTCAAGAGCATAAAATGACCTACTTTGGTGATCCAAACCGGTAGTGCAACAACAATGGCTCTCTATTGCCATCAATGCGATCTCTAAATGTCAACCATAGATATTCAAATGATAAACAACATCATGGTGTGATACTGATGCTCTCAACCATGAAGGCAATCTAGCATGTAAATAAAGAGTTTCTCAGGTCCCTGACTGTGTTGCTCCAGGACAGCTTTATTAATCAAAAGAGCTTTAGCAAAAATGTACCATGACCCCATGATCAGGAAAACGAGACTGCAGGAATCAAACACAGAGCTCTAAATGCAAGATCTCGACTTTTAGTAGACTGCAGAAGCAAATCTAGGCTTGGTTGGATAACCATCAAATGCTGATTCAATATGCCAGGTATTGGGTGGTTCAAGCTTTCAGTGAAACCTGTATGGACAGGTGACATTCACTCAAAGTTACAAGAAGGGAGGACCCGTTTGTAAACTCCTGCTCACATGTTCAATGGAATTACACATCAATTTAAAGCAAATAGGCCTAATGTGTTGTCTTGTCAGTGATGTCACTGACATCTGAATCTAATGTCAAAAGCACATATTTTTTATGGTCACATATATGACATCCTGTTGTGTTTAAACCACTCTATCCGCTTGTCCCAAAAGGGACGTGAAGATGATTTACCCTGCAACTTCATTAAACCACTTATACGTTCTTGTCTTTGATATAAAACATGGTATTTTATATAAATACCCAAACAACTGATAAGGAGACTATAACGAGTAACGTTAAATCTGGGAAAACCGCCACTGACAGTTACAGTTGACAGATATATAAAACAATACAGCATGTTAGCCGTGTCATATTAATGACAGCTTTATGGCAAGAGAGTATACGGGTGTTGAAGTCTATACGTACCCAGATATATGTCTCCAAATGATCCACTTCCAATTTTTCTACCCAGTCTGTATCTGTTTCCAACTCGTAGCTCCATCGCTGTTTACTGGTTTCTCCCGACCGAGTCACTCGACTGTATTTCAGCTAATTTCTATAAAAACAGATAATGTCAGCCCTTAAATTCGATGTTACGTCAATATTTTCACGCGTTATTTAACTGCTACGATCCTATATATCTCTATGCGACCCCAACCCCCCCGAATCCCTGAAGAGAATTCGGATTCTTCCGGCGGAGTTCACTTTTCACCATTCCTTTTCTAATATATAAAAGCCCGGAATGTCACAATATTGTGATCAGGTGAAAGCTTAGAGTCTGTAGATTATGCTCCTGTCGGTTTGGTCACCATTTTCCCCAACAATAAAGAAGATGGAGGTGGATTTTAACAACGGACCGACCCCCGTCGCAGCAGCTGTCACAGGCCTCGTATCTCTCCTGTGGTGAACACGAACGTAGCGCTGTGACGTCACTTCCCCTTGGCGACGCCTCGCTCGCAACAGTCACGTGGGTGAAACGCTGGACGAGTTTCATTAGGTCAGTCTCATTAACTGTCTCGAACACCAATTAATTCATCATATGTGGACATCTTTACATTCGTCACACATATATCTTATTCAGTGATTTGTATTGGTGAATAGAATAGCGGACCTGTACTAAGTATCTGTTCTGTTACATTTACATGTATGCATGCGTATTCCAGTTGTTCAAGTTACATTTTAAATGTTTAATGTTACAGTAGTTACAGATATGTTACTTGTCACTATTGGGATACCAGTAGCAAATAAACAAATACTAGACTAATTCCAAAAAGATACTAGTCACTATTCGATTACTTACTATTAGTTTAAAAAAAATAATAATAGCCTAATGAAATAAATAAATAAAAATACTAGTAACAAAAGTATTTGAAGGTTTTATAATAAATTAAGTAATAATAAATAGAAATATAATATAATACATATAAAGTGGATATTTGGTTCAAAACTAGTTCATATAGTGAATGCTTTGGAAAAACACTAGGCTTAAGATCTTAAGATAACGCGTCATCTATGTAATACGTACTCCATCTGGTTTGCTCTTATGGGTGTCCAGCTTACTGAAACACTGTGAGGCAAATGCTTTGTAATAAACAAGGCAGTGGGACAGTAGTGGAACAGCGCAACATCTTGTACAGCGCAACATCTTGTACTCTCTGAAGTGTTTGGGGCTTGGACACGCCCACCTACTCGATGATTGGTGGATGCTCTTTTGATTGGTCACACAGTATCCAATCAGGAACCGGTCACATGGCTGTAATGTTTTCCAGCAGGTTGCGTAATAGTCTTGCACGTGTTTTTCAATGCAAGCTTTGGAGTAACTTTAGAACCGTTCAGAAAAAAAGCCTGTAATTGAGCTTTTGAAAGAGCCAAAAGCGTGATTTTAACCATAGCCTTTCAAATAAAAAAATGCTTATCTATTTACTTAATTTTAGAATAAATGTGTTGTTTGCAAATATGTGATCTGTCCTTAATGTCTGTCTGACCTAAAAATTATTTAGGTCATATATATATATGTGTGTGTATATATATATATATATATATTTGTGTGTGTGTGTTTTATTATAAATATGTTTGAATTATATGCCTATAAATAATATTTAGTGTAACACAATAAACAATGCCATATATATATATATATTTTTGGTTACATTTTTCATTTGGCTTTTAGTTTTCCAGATATATACCAGGCAAAAGCTTCGACCTACTACTTCTTTATTATACTATAAAACGGGATTATGGTAATAATTCTTGATTTAAAATTATAAACTAAACAAACCGATACTTGCCTTCAAAGTAGTAACTCTACAGAAGAATATTTTTGAATGGTTGTGGACAGAAATGTTTGTTTGGAGTTAGATTTATTTGCTAACGAGGACATCTAGTGGTGATTGATATGAATAGAAGCAGGCACTAACATGAGCAGGAAAAGAAACCTGTTTGCAACACGGGTCAAGTTTGTGCCATTTTTGTGATGTGCTCTGATGAGAACATTTTTTCACAAGCCTGTCTGTGATATTCCTCTGTATAATATGAAAATACATTGGGCAATGTCTTGATCCACAGTGCTAAGAAAATTCCTCCAACGAATGACCTTTAAGCTCACAATCTTACATAAAAGCTTATTACGTGCTTACAGACTCTCCTTTGGTTACACTGATTTATGGAATACAGCTATTTTGGCAGACATGTTTACTATTGTACCATTTAGCATGTCTATACGCTTAAACATCAGGACCTTTCTCAGTAACAGTAACTACACGTCTCATGTCATGATGAATCAAGTGACTGGGAGGAAAAGCACTTTGCGGAGATTATAAACATGAAGGGCCTGAATCTGATGACTAACCATGTTTGAACAGCATCCTTTTGTCCTTGACTGAAAGTTGCTCAATAACATGGACATGAACTGAAAAATTAAAAAGGTTAAAAAGGTTTTTTAGGCTTATGCAAAAATCGACAAATAGTTAGTAGACAAATGTGCCTATATCAATGTTTGTGCAAAAAAAAGTTTGTTGTCAATATATTACAATGCTTCTAGCCCTACAATCTTAACTGAAATGTTTTTGTTCTTAAAATACTAATCTTGTTCTTTAAAAGATTCTTTGAAACCATCAGCTACTTAACATTTGTCTGAAAAGTCTGGGAACAAGGTGGGATACAATTCATTACTTTTATATGGCACTGCTCCTCTCTCTCTCTCTCTCTCTCTCTCTCTCTCTCTCTCTCTCTCTCTCTCTTTATTTGCAAGGTTTCTTTTCTTTTCAATTTGTCCTTTTTGTTGTTTTCATTTCACCCCACCCTCTTGGATGCATCCATGCTCCTCCCTCTGTTCTCCTCCTTTCCTGAACTTTTTTCCCTGGCTCCTCATGGCATGCTGAGTTTGGGAGTGCAGGAGGGAGATGTCTTAAAAACACTGTCAGGCGATAAGACTCAGAGAGACAGAGCAGTGCAGCCCAGTCAACGCAAGCATCCTCAGTGCATCCCGTGGACCCTCAGGTTTGGACCTGCCAAGATAAAGGTAGGGCATGTTCATTAGGATGGTTTAAGTTAGAAGTTTACAATACTACTGCATGTCTTTTTTTATTGTTGTAAATTGGGGCTGTTCTCTTTGAACAAATATATCACATGGTTACACATAATGGCAAGTGCAACAGTGTATAAAACCTTTTCCAGATGTCAGGGAAACTGAATTCTGATGCAAAACAATATGCCCAGATTTAGTTGTGTTTTTCACTTTTTACTGTCTGACTTATCAATGCACCATGTAAGTGAATGAGTACATTATCAGATCATGAATGACAGGTAGTTATTACACTTTATGAGTGTTGTTGGTTGCTCACATTGAATGTATACATAGTGATATAAAAACATAGGTGTTCTCCACTATAATTGTGTTTTATTTTGAGACAATGTCAAGATGACTGTTAGATCCATCAAGCTTAGAAATGTACACATGCATTTTAACAGCAGGTGCAAGGCGAAAGGACACAGCTGGGTTAAATGTTTTTGAATGTAACAACACCCTGGGTTTAATGTGGTTTTAATATTAAAATAATGAAAACTAATTCATTCGGCTAGTGATGGATCCCACCCTATCCCCAAGGAAGATCTACTAAATCACGGGCAATGTAGGATCATTGTAAATTTCATGGAGACAAAATAAATCATAAAATGTATTCTGATTATCCATGGAACGAGTAGCACTGCCACAGGGTGCAGGAACCGAATCTAGGACATGAATTCTTGAGGCATGCCATCACAAAGCCAAGTTCATTGCCTCATCTCTTGCAACGGGAGAGACAGTGGAAATATGACACTATGAAGATCAGTGCTACACCAAATTGCTTTTAACCCAAACTAGTAGAAGTTGTGCAGCAGAGTTTTCTTGCATAATTTTACAGATTGAATGGCAGTGAGCAGGGAATGACTCACCAGTGGATGTTACCCCAGTCAATCCCCAGTAGATAAAAAGTCCTTCTGTTTTTTTTTTCTTTCACTTTGAAATACATCACACTATTATGGAAGCTTGTTTCTGCCAGTGAATAAAAAATAAAAAAGGCAATTGCGACCTAAACACCCCCACCCCCCGCCACACACACACACACACACACACACACACACACACACACACACACACACACCCCACAAACACACACACACACACACACACACACACACACACACACACACACACACACACACACACACACACACACACACACACACACACACACACACACACACACACACACACACACACACACACACACACACACAATTGTGAGTTTATTTCTCACAATTCTGAATTATGAGTTAATATCTCGCAATTCAGATTTTATAACTCACAATTGCAAGTTTATAGCCTCACTATTCTGAGAAATAATGTCAGAATTGCGAGATATAAACTCGCAATTCTGCCTTTTCTCAGATCAAGATATCGCAATTGTGAGTTATAAAGTCAAAATTGCAAGATATAAATTTGCAATTCTAACTTCTCTCTCCCAATTTCAAGTTTATATCTTGCAATTCTAAATTTATAACTTGCAATTGTGAGTTTATATAGAAAAAAAACTCAGAATTGCGAGATATAAACTCCAAATTCTGTAATTTTTATAGAGTTGTAAGATATAGTAAATTCGTAACTGTGAGTTATATAGTCTGAATTGCGAGATATAAACTCGCAAATCTGAGAAAAAAATTCCAGATTCTCTTCTTTTATTTTGTATCAGAAACAAGCTTCCATACATTGTGGAAGTAAAATGGGTTGCAAAATATAAGCTGAAGATGAGTGTTTTTCTTCAGTTCAGTGAACCATGGAGGATATCTAAGTTAAGGCAAAGTGGCTTATATAGGTCAAAGGTGAAACTGACCTTAGTGTTTTGCCACACAGACTTCAAAGTGACCGCACTGTTAGCTTTGATATCAGGGCCAGCACCAAATCCAGCGGTGTCTATTTCTAGTTTAAAGTATTTAGTATTTCCAAAAATAATATACTAACAACGTACTCTTATCATTTCTGCAGTATATAGTATGTACAATGTGCACTCATTCATATCTAGTGTGATGAACGAATGAATTTTCCCCTCATCCTCCTTAAAAAAAAAAGACAATTGCTGGGGGTGAACTTCAAAAATCCTATCGGTTTGCAAACAAGGAATTGAATAACATCATGTACCTGTACCAACAAGTCTCTTCCCTTTGTTTTATATGGGAAGGGGACGTACAAAGATAAGATTCCACCTTTTGATTGTTCAGTCATGGGCATTTAGGTTAACAAATTGACTGTGTTTGGAAAGGAATACTAACTTGCCAGCCACTTACTGAATACTTAGTATACATTGTATAATCATTCTATTTGACTAAAATGGTCCTTAAATCTATGCATTGTGCAACAACACAACTTCTAAAAAGTGGTATACATTATCACATCATGTTGAGTGGCACCCAGTTTTCATATTATAAAAATTTAGTTATTTTATAGTTTTAATTTGAATAAGTAAATGTCTAAACTAAAAAAAATATTTAAAATAGACATGTTAAAAAAATAACTCAATGGGACTGAGGAGGCCGCGGGAGTCTTTCCACAAGACTAATATATGAGTATGTTATTCTCTCAAAGAAAGTATTTTTACACTCAAATTACTTGAGCCCAGCTGTGTTTCAAGAGCTTGCCTTTTCTGATAACACTAGCATCCAAATGAACTCAAGGAACTTATTGTAAGTTCTGAAAGCAAAGAAAATTGTTGTTTTAATAAGATGGATGTTTATTTACTCTGTTGATAGACCATGTCATGTTCACTTTCATTCCCTGAAGTTCATTCAACTTCCTCTGAAGAAACTGTATTACAAAACAGCTGCAAAGAATTGGGAAGATTTTGAATGTGAGAAAAACATGTTGGTCCAAGCATGTACAGTAGGAAAGGGTACATGTTACAATACATTGAACTTGGCATATGGGGGTTTTAAATGACTAGTGACAGAAGCATTTAGTATGAGTATTCAGTATGTGGTTGAAAGTTGGCCACTGGGGAGCTTTTGGTCACACGCCCAAACCCAAAGAATGGAGCCAGTACCTCATTTCTGTAGTCAAAGAGACCAAATTTACCCCAGTGAAGAACTGTTTATGTTACAGTGCACCTGGTGGGCCTCACCTTAAATATGATCCAGAACCAAACACCAGTAAGAATTGACCGACTGTAAGAAGACCACACGCTTGTTTTCCACTGAGAAAATCCCCCAAAGCCACACCTCGTAGTTCCGACACGCCACTGCATGCCTGCAGAATTGTGTAGGGGTGCAAAAAGCACAATGCAGATTAGTAAATAGTTATTATGATCTGTTGTGATAACACAATGGGAATTTGTTATGACACCTTTCAGTAGCTGTTTACAGTTTAGGAATGTGGGAACATGGAAAATCCTACATTATTTCCTCTCATCTTTTTGATATGGACCTATGGGTCTGAAAAATAGTTTCAAAAAGGTGACGTGTGAAATTTCTGCATGTGAATGCGTCAGACCGGAAACGCAAGCTCATGCGAAATGTTTTGCATTTCAAAATTCAAGTCTGGTGAACTCTGACCTGCGAATTCGCATCACACGAATATTTGTGACCAGTAGAAGATTGATACGTCACGGCATGATCTTACAGTTTAGTGTGCTCAAGGTCTAGTGTAACTGCTTGTCCAACCACCGGAAGACACCCAGAGTGTTTGGGACACGTATCCAAAACACGTATCCCCCACCCCCCAGTAAACAGTAAAATGCAAGTTACGACAATTTGATTACAGTTTGAGGAGTCAAACATTTTGTTGTTGTTTTAAATATTTTTCTTTTTTTTAAATGCACCAATGAATTCTCCAAAATATAACCAGCAGTGTGCATTTATAAGGTCAATTGTGAATTAATCTGTAATGCAGTAATCTGAAGCTTCAATGGCCAAAACCGGTTATGATATATGACTAAAGAAAGCAGTCGAATGTTTATGCATTTGACTCTTGGCTCTCCACTCAAGGTTTCAAACCTACAGAGGGTTCAGGGATTGAAAATGATGCGTGGAGCGTGGTGTTCTCTGGAGAAGAAGGGTGAAAAAAACAATCTTTACTTATGTAATACTTTTAAAAAGGTCAGGGTAGATGTTGATTGAGCCAAGAAGAAGACTGGGCCTGAACTAAAGGAGGACTCAGTGATGTGCTGAACATGTAAACATGACCTCAAGACCCCAACATCCGCAGGAAGGAGAGGGATTCTCATGCCAGGATATCAGATGTGGGACTGTAAACATGGCTGAGCATGAAAAAGGGGATAACCAAGGAAAGGGAAATAATATAAAGCAGGCCTTTTGAACGGACTGAATATGTTCATTTTTTCCACAGTTATTTGAAGCCCAAAAGTCAGATGGCACCAGAAACATCTATGAAAAAATGTGCTTTTGAGGTCAAAGAAGTGGCCTTATATGTATACCGGTATTTAAAATATTTTACGTAAGGGGAACACAATAACCCGAAAATGTGATCAAGCTGAAGCTTTTGGTCTTGGTCTTGTATTACCCTTAAGGGGTTATTTTGTGAAAATACAGCATATAACATTACACTGGGATGCAAACAGTATATACCACTATTTACACAGCATCTAATTTCCTTTATACAAGCCTCTGCCTATTTTGAAACGCCACAGTCTTATAGACACAGACACATGTACAAAAAAGATGGTCAGATGACATACCAGGTGAACACATCATAAGCTTATGGAGGATTAGACGTGCACAACCTCAAAGCACTGCCCTAAAACTGCTTTGAACTTCAGACTAAATTGAGTGATATGACCTTTTCTTACATTAAACATCACTCTAAAACACACACATACACGTAGAACAGAGGCTTCATCTCAGTGAGTTTATTAAACAGTGGGACATATCACGTCATTCTTCAACCTCATGATTAGAGAAGGGTTACTGTGGTGTGGCGGGCTCCAGAAAACCGTATTCATCTCAGTATTATGCAGTCTATAGTTTTAAATACTTTATGGCATGTTTGGATTGTGCAAGTCAAGATGCTGTATGGGTGGAATGTGAGCGAACATATCAACATATGTAGTACTCGGCTCAAAAACACAAAAAAAAAGAAAAGATAAGAATGAAACATGTTTACACTGATACTATTATCCATGCATTCTACATAGATTGAACACTTTTGCATTACAATCTCTACAAAAGATTATTAAAATTTTTTGTGTATTGTTGATCTCGTTATCATTGTTCCACACTGGGAAATTAAGTCAGTGTCACACACCAGAAAAAAAAGGACCATCATGGTTTATCTCCCATTTTAAATGAGATTTTCTACTTTTGGACCTCAAGGTAACACTTTATTTCGATGGTTCTCTTTTGCCATTCTGTTGAGTAACGTTGCAACTACAAGTCAACTAACTCTCATTAGAGTATTAGTAGACTGTCTGCTTAATGTCTGCTAACTCTGTATTGTGATGGTTCCCCCAACAGACATTCTAGAAGTAACTTTGCAAGTACATATCTTATTCTACGAACCCTAACCCCTTATTCTACTACCCCTACCCCTAACAGTCTACTAATACTCAACTAATACACTAATGAGAGTTGACTATATTCATTTCACCTTAAAATCTTCATGGTGCAAAAACATTCATGAACATTTTTTCAACATTTCTAACTCTTTCTTGTAAAGCATGTACATGGTTTAGGAGGTACATAATATTTTGTTTTGTACATAAGAAAAATGTAATTATTCTATTCATTAAGATTTTAATTGTGAATCTAACTTTAATTGTGTATAGTTGTTTGTTACATTCCTTATGTACAAACTTTTTTATAGAAGAATGTTGATGCAGTATTTGTAATCTGTCATAAGTAGATGTGTTTTGATTCTCACCACATTAAGCTTTTGGAGCTCATGCTGGCCTTGACCAGTGCTTTTATGGGTTGTGTTAAGTGTTTTGAATAGCATTTTACCTCACAAAATATGTGGGCTTTTAATCAACTTTGTGGGAGTTTTCAGTATGTTCTTAAGCAAAAAAAAAAAACAAAAAAAAAACCTTACAAACACTTTTGCTAGTGGGACAGCTGGGAATAAAGGGAATAACAGATAATGATGCAGACAGAAATGCATGCATATAAAGGCCTGATAATGTATTTGTTTAAGGAGTTGATCACATCTGATTGTCATATACAAGCTATTTACTGTGACAATATAACGAAATAAATAATGAGATGATATAATTGATCAGAGAAGGATTAAATTGACAAAGAGATAAGAGTGACTAAACTTAGCCATAAACCTGAACAGATACATCAAAAATAACTATTAAAACTAACAAACACCCTACTTTATATAAATTCGAGTGTATAACTGACTCGCAAACATAATTATAAATAGCAGCATTTAACAAAATATTTCAGTCTAGCAATGAAAACATAAATGCCCCCGCAAAGACCCAAATGAACCATCTGAAAATGATTTTAAATCACTTGTCAGCACTACATACAAGAGAGAAAGTGGACGATTATTGTAATTTGTATGTGTGCAAATGTGATATAAAAACCAGCAAAGCATTCACACTATACTGCTACTTGCTATAAAAAGTAGCTTGTTACTGGAAAATCTTCCAATACCAACAGACTAAAGAAGGATGGAGGCTGGCCTTAAAATAGTTTCTCTTCAGTTTAAGTGAATTTTTGGCTCATGTCTTGCTTCATTATGTGTAATATTTTCTGCTCATGACTGATCATTAGATGCCTTTCTGCCTCATGGTTTGGAAAGGCAGAAAACAAGGCGGATTGATTTTTTAGTTTGCTGTCCTAAGAAGGAAAAAATATGAGATTTATAGTTTCATCTGAACATCAAGTACTGTATGATTGCCAATTTAAAATTGGACAACACATTCCGAGATATTTTTCGTTTCATAACTTTTCAGGTTATGTTTTCATGGTTTAAATTTTTTATTTTTTTTTACAAACAGTTGCAAGAGCCTTTCATTAGCTTTCATCACCTGATTGTTGTTTATGAAATTCCACAATGGTGGTCTGATTTCTACATAGCTTTAACCCAAAACTATTTTGTTGTTGCTATCATCAGTCAAATGCTAGAGGTTGAATAGCATAGCTGACCCTTTGCAGATACATGATAACACACAGCAGGGATCTGTCATGTTATAACAGTCTCCTATCATGACCCTACCATCCAGCAAAAGGCCTAAACATGTGAGACTGTCCATATAATCCTAATGAGTGTGCAGAGATTAATAATTATGCTCAGAGAAAAATTTCCAGAACAATTAGCATATTTTGTATTCATATTAATTATTGTAATAAATTGCAGTTTTTTTGAAAGGGTAATCCACAATCTAGTCGAAAACAGGCAAAAGTTCATAAACACCGGGTAATCACCCCAAACAATAAAAGGATCAAAGGCAAAAACAGAGGAAACCAAGAAAACCGGGCAAAATATGTGTAACATGAATATGTGGAACAGGTGCATTACCAAATTAATCATCCATAGCTACTGTTTAAAATAAAAATAAATAACAAAATATAAAAATCCAGGGCACCAAAATCAAGACACTGTATATCAACAACATCAACATATTCTAAATGTCTCTGAGCTTGTTTCTTTACAGTTAATTTTTTTAGTGTGAAATTACAGTATATACCATATACATATTGCATTACTTTCACAGTAGGATTTCTCTTGTATCTAACTCAGAATTTTTTACAATTTTTTTAGATTGACTTTTTTATTAATGAATAGAAAGTTGAAAACAAAGCAATGTTAAAAACAAAAAAATTTGTTTTCAAAACACACACACACTATAAATATACAGTACACCCACTATTAATATTACTAAAGAAAATATGCAAATTGAACAGGAACATCGATGGAACATCATACATGTAGACTGAACTAAAATACAAAAATAAATGACAAAAACTATTAAATATAATTGAAGTTTGAGTCTGCCAGTTTTCAACTTTTATCCAAATGATGTGTTAATTGTTGTCTCAGATGCTGATGTCAAACCTGGTGCTGCTGGGGGTGGTGTTTGCCAAATGGGCCGAGCCGTACATTACCCAAAACCGAGATGCAGAACAAGACCCATATGAGCCCAGAGATAGTCAGAGATCCACAGAATACTACAGAGATGGAAGGTACTTACTGATCAATCAATTCAACAATCCATCCATCCATCCATCCATCCATCCATCCATCCATCCATCCATCGTTATTTTCTCTTGTGATTCCAGTGGAACAGAGTGCAGGCGATGCTGTGACCCTGCAGAGGAGCCCCCTCAGTATGCCAGTCCACATTACCAGATTGTGCCACAGATAAACATCACCATTCTGAAAGGTACAAACCATCAAAATATACTTTAAATGTTCAGCTTTGGGGGATTTTTTTGTTGCTGTATACAAATATACAAATCACAAGGTGAATATCTTCCATTTTAAGGATAAAAAGGAACAAAAGGCTTACATTTACAGAACAAATTACATAATGTTGACTGCCTTTGTATACAATTGTTTGGATAAACGTCAATCTTAGTTGAATATCTCACTGTTGGTAAACGATATAGGCCAGGCCTGGTTCATCACAGGATGCTTCTGTGGTCTGGAAAACATGCACCAAAAAGGACAAATCACCACAGAAAGTGACTTTATGATCCAAACTGTCACAAACAACAGAAGAAAAATGGCTGTGAGATTGGCGCCATCTTCTATTCAACGCTCCAGTCTTCACTCCACACAAACAAGACCATTATGTCATTTGAAAACCATAATTTTTTATTATTTGAGGTTTAATAAAACACCCTCCAAAGCTTGACCCAAACACAAAGTTTCAGGAAGCGAGACATGATAAATCAGAGATAAAGAATGTAAAAGACCTTTTTAATGATGCTTGTTAAAACTATAAAACAAACTGAACTTCACGTCTACGATTCACTGCTACATTCCTTCCCTTACAGGGGAAAAGGGAGACGCTGGTGGGCGAGGGCCCTATGGGAAATCGGGCAAGTCAGGGCAAACCGGACCCCGAGGGCCCCATGGCGTGAAGGGAACCAAGGGCAGCATCGGTTCCCCTGGAGAAGCCTGTAAGTCCTACTACGCTGCCTTTTCCGTGGGCCGCAAGAAGGCCCTGCACAGTAACGATTACTACCAGGCCATGATCTTTGACACAGAGTTCGTCAACCTGTACGGCCACTTCAACATGTTCACGGGCAAGTTCTTCTGCTACGTCCCCGGCATCTATTTCTTCAGCCTAAACGCGCACACCTGGAACCAGAAGGAAACGTACCTGCACGTGATGAAGAACGAGCAGGAGATGGCCATCCTGTACGCGCAGCCCAGCGATCGCTCCATCATGCAGAGCCAGAGCCTCATGCTGGAGCTGGAGAGGGACGATCAGGTGTGGGTCCGGCTCTATAAGGGCGAGAGAGAGAACGCTGTGTTCAGTGATGACTTTGACACCTACATCACGTTTAGTGGTCACCTTATCAAAGCTAAGTCAGAAGGTTGAGCAGAGCAAAAATGAGATGAGATGCAATTTCTTTTTTGTCTTACATGGTACCTGAGGAGAAACCTATGATTTAACTTTATGATACAATCTTGTGTGTCTTACCATTTAAAGGTTATTGCTACAATGTTACAATATGCTGTTGTGTTTGAAAATTTGGACATTTTGCACAAGAGTTCAAATTAGTGCCTTTTTAATGTGTAGATACATCAGAAATCCTTTAACAGATTACTACAAATTATTATATTATATCTGGCTATATAAGTAATTATTTAAGTGGGACTACAAAATAGAAAGTGGGTCTACAAAAATAAATTATAATAATGAGTATATTATTACAAATATTGTAAATTAGGATTCATTTAAGAAACACAATGCAATTTCAGTTTAACATTTAAATCACTAAATCAGAAAAGATGCTGAAGTACATCGTTTCAGAAAAATTGAAATAATACCAAATAATTTATGAAATATTTTTATAATGTACAGTATTATAGAATGAGAAAATGTGGGATACTTAGACACCATGCAGCAGACAACTAGAGTAACTCAATGATCAATGACAAAACACCTTGATGGTGTCTCTGAATGTACTGTATTATAAATGTTACATTTGTATAAATGGATGCACCTGTTAGACTTCATAATCATATCATGTATAAGCAGCGATATTGTGGATTTGATTATATTCATATGATAAATTATTCCTATATGTGTTTTACTTTTTAAAAAATCTGGTCCTGTAATGTAAAATAACAATAATATGAACTGAACAATTACATCTTAACCAAAGCTCATTATTTTAAAAAGCTTTTGAAAGAACCAGGTTACTGTGGTCAACAGCAAGTTTCTACGAGCTTCAGCAGGAAGTACATTAATTATTATTGTTAATTTGTAAATGTTGTGTTTATTGACATTAAATGAAACAGCTCCTTAATCCAACAAGACAATAAAGATTTTAGTAACCTCAATGTCAAATTTGATGACCATGCTTTATGTCTGTAGTTGTTCATGTCAGACCAAATATAAAAGATAGATGGGGTAACCAACTTTGGTAACATGTTTAGTAACATTTTGCCGGATTTGGAGACCCTGCTGTACTTCTTCAGCTAGAGCAAAACACTTTCAAGGATTTAAAAGAGAGGAGATAGGACATAACACAAATCACTTTTGTGTGAAATATCACTCTAAGATCTCTGCTTAGACAAACATAGCTACTTGTCGCCATCTAGTGGTGTAGTTATAAAGGACTTTAAGGGCTAGATACTTCAAAAATGAAAATAATGTCATCAATTAATCACTCTCATGTTGCTCCAAACCTGTATGATTATCTTTCTTCTTTCTTCGAAATGTCTCAGGTTTGTTTCGTCCATTTAGTTGGAAGTCAATGATAACCAAAGCTTTGGTTACCAACATTCTTTAAAATATCTTCTTTTTTATTCCACAGGAAAATGTCATGAAGGTGAGTAAATAATGACAGAATTGTATTTTTTTGGGTGACCTATCCCTATAATATTGAAAAATCTTGAAAGAGAAATTTAAAAACATTTCCATAATTATGATAATAATTATTATTGAATTAGTAATTAAAAATATATTAATTTCTGATATGTGAAATTGCTTGTACATAATTTGTAATAATTACCATACAATGACCAAAATATATCAAATTAAATATATTTAATTGCGACAGCCAATTGTGTTGACCTTTGAAACTTTATGGCATTAAGAGAGTTTAAGTTTAAATTAATATTAAAATGTCTGATTAAAAGAATAGAGAGTATGACACAATGACATATGATACTATTTTTTTTATGATACATTCTTGGCCTTTTTGGAATTTTCAGTATAAATCACCCTCCACTTTCCTTTTATATATAACAAAAGCTTGAAATAGAAGATAGAAAATATGGGGGTTGGAATGACACTGGGGATGAGTAAATGATGACAAAATGTTCATTTTTGGGCAATCTAATCCTAAACATTCAGCAACAGCAAGTCTTGGCCTGCAGTGTTGCAACTTTGTCTCTGTCTTGTGATTAAACTTGATCTGTGTTCTCTGTTTTCCACAGTTTTATCCCCTTTTTTATCCCCTGGAATAAATCACGGTTTCAGTAAATGAGGAAGCTACTGAATTTCCAGCACTCACTCCCCTGAAAAACCTTTTACTTTTACTGTCTATCTTGCTGGTGGTGGTGAGGCACTTAACGTAATTAATTACAGTTTATAGTGTAACAGTTTGATCCCTTCTCTGATACAACTTTGTGAGTAAATAAGTTTCCGGGATATTTTCGATTGCTGTCCGTACGGGAATTTATGTGGTCATTCAAAATGAATAGAATTAATTCGAGATAATGATCTGAATACGCTAGAGAAAAAAAATATTGTATCAAGAGTCAGCAGCCACCCAAGAAGGACCCAATAGAGATCATTTTCAATCTAGCAGGGCTATTTTGTCTACAAAAACTACAGCCGTCAGGTCCTAGTCTGATTGCAGCTATAAAATGCATCGACAGGCAATGGATTCAAAGTTTGCCCTGCCCATTAAAAAGCACTGGGGTAAAATGCTGATGATGTGTAGGCCTACTGCACCTGTGATGGCTCTTTATCTGGATGGGCCATCAGATGCTGCTGGGAAGGAGGGGTGGAGGGGTGTTTACTCAGCAGGCACACGCTCTTTCTGTGCACTCAACTGACCAGCCCACTTGCTTTCACTTTTAAAGCGCTTTTAAGGTGTCATCTGAGAGTGCTTTTCTTTTAAGCCAGTTAAGCTAACACTAACTCAGTGTGTCACAAGTCCCAGTTTCAGTGTCAATGTGTGAAAGAGAAACTACGTCAATGTGACATGTGATCTGACTTTTGCTAATTTCTGATTTTGTTGTCGAACTATTATTTTATTTTACACAATTGTTTTATTTGTTAATAATAACTCTAACTGCGCTACTGTTATTTAAATGTTGTGTTACCAATGGGCTCTATGCACAGCGGTATTTCCGGTGAAGGTCTAAGGATGCTGGATTACTTCCGCCGATCGTAGAGTCCAATGCTATACCGAGAATTTATATTGGTTTTTATACTCTATTGCTATACTAAAGAAACGTTAGTCACAAAAACAGACAAAACAGACACTCCTCATTTTGTTTATGCTTCTGTGTTTATTATATTAAATAAACATAACTATATATAAAATTACATCTAAACGTATTAAAGTTTCGTTTCAAAGACGAGAGGACAGTACATTTTGAAGACTCTGCCATAATACCGTTTTCCTCGGTTTTCCTCCGCTTTAAATCTCCCCAACCGGAAACGCACGAGCATCCTTGCGTCAAACGCGGAAGTTATGCGTGCATATAGCCCATTGCCGATATAACTCTGAAAGGGACAGTGTGTAATTTTCGCCGCTAGACGTCGCACATTCATAACAATAACAAAGGCGTAGCTTGATGAAGCTGTGAGGGAGCGTGGAATGATGGGAGTAGACATCTTCACCTTCACTGCCGATGGAAATCAATCCGACGGGATTCACAAATCATGTTCATGGATGTGGTAATGAAATGAAGTTTTATAACCGTTACATTTGATCACATGATTTTAATCGCAAGTAACATAATGTTTAATGCTAAATTACTAATCGTACATGTCACTTTATTTGTCGAAATTGACAAATAAACAACGAGGAGGGACATTACACTGGTTAAAACGGCGTATTTCTCTGGATTTAAACATTGTTGGAAAGATTTAGGATGATGTAAGTACAAAAAGTGAACGAAATACATAACACTGTGCTAGTGTTTTTTTTAATATAGGCCTATATTTTAATGCAAAAATCTTAAATATTAAGCCTTTAAGAGAATTGGCATATGGAATCCCTTGAGAGTTTTTTTCATTTGTTTCAATTTATGAAAAAGGCCAAAATTGCACAAAATAGCATATACTGCTCGACTAATTGGACAGTTAAGATGTTATGCAACTTCTTAGCAATTATGGTAGGCTACTACAAAATCACGTTTGTGTGCAATTTATCTTGTCGAACGAAATGTGAAAGGAATGTGAAGCACAGACCTTATCTTATTCATAAATCGAAAAATCCATTAGAAATTCCCAAAGGAAACCATGGTGAATTAGCCTTTCCAGGTTGGCTGAAAAATTGACATCATGACTGAATAGCAATATAAAGCGCTAAATTGTCAAATTAAAACTTCAGAGAGATAGGAACAGAAGAAAAAAAAGAGAATAAATAAATACATTTTTGGTCATGAGATGTGGAGCATTGATAGTGGAGAGCTCATGCTCATCCAACAACAGATTATTTGGCTCTTGTACTAGCCTCTCAAATTAGATTTTCAGTGTAAGTCCTGGAGCTCTGCCATCGAACCACTTGCAGGAACGAGGAGCAAATATTACATAATGAAGAAAAAAAAAGAAATGACAAGATTTTTGTCTACTTTTCTGATTCTGCCTTTTGCCGCCTTGATAAAGATATGCAAAATGATTTATAAAGCTATGAGCAAGCCAAGACCACAGAAGGAAAATAAGCCATAAAAAAGGATTACAAACCCCCAAGTAATTAACACAGGCTATATGAGGAAAGCTCAGAGCCAAGCAAAATCCTAAATCAGAGAGAAATACCCAAGAAGTGTGGTTTGGCTGGAGCGAGTATGAAATTCAGCAGCCATATACCACTGGCTCGGACAGAGAGTCTAAATCCACTGTGCATTTCTGGCCATGTGGCTTCTTATCTCCGTGCCTCGTCAGGTCATCATTGTAAATAAGAGTTGGCTCCTAATTAATTAGGCTGTTGGAATGGAGGTTAAATACTATAGATAAACTGAAAGGCAGATGTGGTGTCCACTGATCCAGGATCTGAGATAAAGTAGACATTTAGCAGATGCTTTTAACCAAAATGACTTACAATACACATCACAGGGAAAATCTCTTGGCACAACCTGGGGTTAAAATGATAGTTCCCCTTAAAATAACAATTTAAGGTTATCATTTACTCATTCCAATCCT